TCCTTCTCTGTCCCAGCCTGTCTGTTACCATCCTAAGTGAGATGTCCATGACTTTGTCTTCCTAGTTGGTGTCTGTCCTTGTTCTCAGAGGCCGAGAGGGGCGTTTGGGCCCCTGGTCCTGCTGGTCCCTGTCTGTGTGGTGGACTTACCAATCGCCTGCTTTGCCTGGGACTAACAGGTTTCTGGGCTAAACCCAGGAAAGTCCCAGGTGAATCGGGGTGAGTTGGTCAACCTGGTTGAGTGACAGCTGTGGATTTGATCACCTGGTCTTCCTGTTCCCCATGTCCTGGCGAGTGCCAGGAGGAGTCCTCCCAACAGGAAAGACCAAGCTTAGGGACAGACAGACAAGGACAGACCTCATCCCACTACCCAGTGGCTGGGGGTCTTAAGCAAGTCCTTTCATACTCACACACAGTGATGCTTCACCCCAGACATTCTGATGGCTGTCTGGGTGTTGCCAGTGCTGCAGGCCTGGGACCATCTTGGAAGGGCACCTGTCCAGGACACCTGTCTGACCCGGAAGCCTCCCTCCCTTTCCACCCAGGACTGCTCCTCCATGATCTAACTGTGGCCAGAGTTGCGGTCTCTCAGACTGCCTCTTGGTATTTTTTTGGCGGGGGTGGGGGTGGGGGAGTTTAAATGTTTTTTATTAATTTCAGGGAGAGGAGGGGAGGGAGGGAGGGGGAAGAGAGAGAGAGAGAGAGAGAGAGAGAGAGAGAGAGAGAGAGAGAGGCATCAATGATGAGAGAGAAACATTGATCAGCTGCCTCCTGCATGCCCCCTACTAGGGATCAAGCCTGCAACCCAGGCATGTGCCCTGACTAGGAATCAAACCATTGACCTCCTAGTTCATAGGTCGACCCTCAACCACTGAGCCACAGCAGCCGGGCACCTTTTGATTTTTGAGAGCCAGACAAGCCAAAGTTGTCAGACACACTGCTCATAGCTTGCAGATGTCCTGGCTCCCACCTGAAGTGGCCGACTGTCATACTTGTTAGTTCTTGAGTACTTGTTGAGTGCCCATGAAACCCCAAGCAGCGTTCGAGACAGTGGGGATGCGGTGAATTCGAGAGCCCTGGCCACCCAGAGCTCACATTCTAGTTGGGGAAATCGGGCGAGAAGCTCCCGAACAAGTCATTCAGATCCATGAAGACGATAAGGGAAGACATGAGGAGTGAGTGTACGGAGTGGGGACTGCCGCTGTGGCTTCATGGTCAAGGGAGGTTCCAAGGAGCTGGTGATGGGGCGGAGGCGTGGTGGGCAAAGGAGGCAGGGGGAGGAGACGGAGACCTGGAACGGCCTTCCGCCGGGAGGAAGTGCATAGGAGGCCCTAGGTGGGCCCAGGACACGCGGGCCTGCAGCGAAAGGAGGTTGCTTTCCATTCTGTGGACAGTGGGAAAACAAGAAGCTTCCAAGCAGGAGAGCGGCATGGGATCGATGTGGCTGCTGTTTACAGGAGGGACTGGGGGGGGGGGGCACAGAAGGGCAGGGGGCCAGTGAGAAGGCCATTGCCGGCTGTGGGTAAGCGAGGATGGTGGCCTGGGTGGCAGGTGAGGAGTGGACAGACGGGGGTGGGTTCTGGAGCCGAGCAGCGAGACTTGCCCCCGCTGTTTTAGAAGTGACAGAGAAGGGACTCCGGGACGAGGCCTCGGTTCCAGCCTGGGTGGGTGACCAGGGGGAAGCAGATCTGAGCGAGAAACACGCACTGTGCTCCCTGTGAGGTGCTCGTTGGATGGTGAAGCGTGAAGAGTAGTGGAGGAGGCAGGCTGGAGGCGGCATCTCAGGAGACGTGAGAGAGAAATCGAGAGTCACCAGCACGTATGTGACATTGAAAGCCAAGAGATTGCCCAGCAGTGAGGGAGGGTGTTGGACAGGGAAGGGGAGAGGGCCCCGGACCCACTAGTGCTTGGCAGTCAGTGCCAGGAGGGCAGTGCCCACGAGGTTGGAGGAAAACCAGGTGTGTGGCGCCCTGGCAGCCGCGGGAGGTGTTTGAGGATGGAGCGGGTGCTCACGGCCTCCCTGCCTGCCTCTTGACCCTTACGGTCCTTGCCCACCCAGGGACCCAGCGGGGCTGGAAGTGCCTGGTCACTGAGGGCTTCCTGGCCACTTGTGCCCAGGTCAGGGCCAGGTGCCCATTGCTCTGGTGTCACTTCTGGTGTCCTCTCCAGGTACCACAGAGCGGCACTCGGGCATCTCCAGCCTCGCCCCTCACCTGGCCCCGTCCTCTGTTTGCCGGTGTGTGATGGCTCAGGCCGCCGCCTCAGCTCTCACTGTCCCCTCCTCCGGGGGCGTTGCTCCTGTTTAGGCTTGGGCACGTGCCTCCTGTGAACTGCCTGTCGTACTTTGTGTTCTGTTTCGTATAGTTTTTCGGTTTTATTGGGTGATTTTTTTCCCTTCTCTCATTTTCAGTTTAGAACTACCCCCCATTTACGTGGTTGATCCGATGTGGTCCCAGCAGACCTGCGTCTGGGTCTCCTGTGTGCAGGGGTCATGGCTCATGGCTCCCAGCCCAGCGCTCTTGCCCCAGCCCCAGTCGCAGCAGCTCCAGCCCCATGGGCCGCCCCTCTCAGAGGCCCGGGAGTTTGCAGGAGGATCTTCTCTCTCCTTCATCCCCGAACACAAGTCTGGGCCTCCTTGGCTTAGGACAGAGGCTCCTAGGAGCCCAAATAGCCAAGACAAGGAGTCAGGGGATGGCCCCCAGCCCAGCCTCCCTTCACTCCGTCCATCACCCCTCCCTCTCTGACTCCCTGGATCCTTCCTAAATGGATTAGGAGCCGCAGCCGGCTGGGGTGACCTGGAGGCCAGGGCTGGAGCGCTGTCTGGTGCCTCCTCCTTTGCCCTGATTTGATTTGGACTCAGCAGCTGGGAGGCTGGCAGCCAGAGGCCTTTCTGGGAATGGCTCAAGGGACTGGCAAGCGGGGGTAGCTGAGGGAGGGGACAACAGCCCAGACAGGCGAACCTCTCAGCGGGCCGTGCCCCAGAAGGCCCCTGGCCCTGGTGCTTGCTGCCTCTTGGTCCATTAGCACGCCTTATTCATGGCCTGTTCTACCCTCGGCATCCTTAACACTGTGGATTTTGAACGTCTATCAGATTGCAACCTAGGGGAAGAAATACATTTAATAAACATTTAGAAGTGAACCCAATATACATTTTGGCCAACTGCTGACTGGCCAGTTGTTAAAATCAATATTTATCCACAGCCAACAGCAGACTTGGGCCAAGACTGAGGCCAGAGCCAAGCTCTGATGCAGCCCTAATTCCTTTGAGTGTTTCTGTAACTGAAGTCCGACACCTCTCACCTTGTTGTATGTGACACACTCAGGTATTTGCTCTTCTATGCCATCGACGTTATGAGCCGCTTAAAAGCCATAGTCCTTGGTTTAGACCACAGTGCCTTGGTCCATCGGATATGTCCGGCCCTGCGCTGTGCCCTGGGAGTGCAGCGGTGACAGGCAGACTGGTCCCTGTCCTCACAGAGCTTAAGGTCCAGGAGTAGCTGCACTGATAGAAGATACTCCAGGCTCGGCACCCTTTAAGGTGCCAGACCCAGCTTTCACCTGCCCAGTGCTGGTTCCCGCCCCATCCCTAGTCATGTACACAGACTCCTTCACCCCGATCTGCTGGACGTAAGGAGGCCGGATCTATAAACTCCCTCCAAGGCCCTCAGCCTGTGGGTGGGCCCCCTGGATGTGTTTCCTGGGGTCTGGAAGGGGAAGGGCAGGATGGGACGGGAACTGAGGGAGGCTGACCTTTGCATCTAGTGGGTGCCCAGACCAGGCTGGGTGGTACAGGGGCGGCAGGCCAGTTTCCTGCCTAGGGAATTCCTGATAGGGGAGCCCTGGTCTGAGGGTGCCCCAGAGACGGGGAGAATGCAGCTCTGTTCTCCAGGAGCCTTATGACGAGGGGACAAAGTCCTGTGTGTGAGAAACCCAGGTCTGAGATGAAGCAACCTCTGTATCTCTGAGACTGAGTCCCGACAGCCAGGAAGTAGACTGTGGCTCAGAGGCCTCGGAGCAGTGGCCTTCTCCAGGGGAGCTTGTGGCTTGATGCAGAGCTGTGATGGAGGAGCTCCGGGACATGTGGGAGGACAGCAAGGGTAGCTGGGGCAGGAGAGGGCAGGAAGTGGGGTGAGAGGGGGTACTTTCACAGCAGAGGCAACAATTAAAAGCTGAGCAGGCAGTCAATAGATGACGAAGGGGCCAGGAAAGGCACTCGGGGCAGGGAGAGTGGAACGTGTGACTGCTGGGGAGCCACAAGAATGTGGGTACATTGCCCAGCCAGCATGGTGCAATGGTTGAGCATTAACCTATGAACCAGGAGGTCACGGTTCAATTCCCAGTCAGGGCACATGCCCGGGTTGCGGGCTCGATCCCCAGTGTGGGGCATGCAGGAGGCAGCCAGTCAATGATTCTCTCTCATCATTGATGTTCCTATCTCTCTCCCTTTCCCTTCCTCTCTGACATCAATAAAAAAAAAAAATTTTTTTTAAAGAATGTGGGTATATTTGGGGGGTGATGACACCTAAAATACCTGGAACATGGGTGTCTGGACCAGGAACCTTGAATACCAAGCTGAGTCCAGAACTGTGGGCAGTAGGGAGCCACATGGGGTGTGTGAGCAAGGGAGAATGATAGCCAGAGCAGTGTGTATGGGAGAGTTGATGGTTGGGTTGCTGGACAGACTGGTCATAGTCCTGGGCTCAGCTCTGAGGCTGCAGACTTGGGGGATGTATCTGGGGCACATGTCTCCATTATCCTGCCACCTGTGCCACGCCTGTACAGGCCACACGCGAGCCGCTGCATGTCCAGGTCTGTCAAGGCTCTGATTCCATCTTCATATAAGACCCTTAGGAGAAGAGAAGGCCAGCTCTTGACTTGTCCCACGTGGGAAGTAGAAACAGCCCTGAGGTCTGGGGCCAAGCCAGTCGGGGTGGGTCCCTACCACGTGTTCCACTTCCCGTGGCGCACACCCACCTCTGTCTGCTCCCTCTCTCTACCCAGGTGACCATGGCCTTGCTGGGGAAGCGCTGTGACGTCTCCACCAATGGCTGTGGGCCTGACCGCTGGAACTCGGCCTTCGCCCGCAAAGACGAGATCATCACCAGCCTTGTGTCTGCCTTAGATTCCATGGTGAGTACCCGGCCCACCCCCGGGAGTGGGACACCCAGCTTTATAACCAGACGTTGGAGCTCGAGTCCCACCTCTGCCTACGTCAGGGGACGAGAGGCTCAAGTGAGGTTAAGTACATAAACATCCAGTCCTGGGAATAAAGGCTGGCCCCAGTCCTCATCCCCTGCTCCTCGTTTCATTAACTCTTATTCAAGGCCCGTCCCTGGCATGGTCACAAGCCTCCCTCCCAGCACCTGGAAGATAATGTGTGGGCAGTGATTCGTTAGAGAGCTGTCGCTGCATCTTGGGGCTGGGAGAGAGAAACGGGACTTCATAAATTACTACTCTGCTGGCACCGTTGCCTACATATGTAAGCCTGTAGCAGTTTACCTCAAATGAGAAAATAATAATATAATTTCCCTCTATCCTTTTCCGGGGAAAGTTCTATGATGGAGGGTAGGCAGGTGTGTTTTTTAATCTGCATTTTAGGATGGTGAAATTGAAATTCAGAGAGAGCACCCCCTTACCTGAAGCCACACAGTATGACCAGTTTTTGAAGTGGATTCGGGTGCAAAGTCTTCAGTTCCCTACGACAAAGGGCCTCCCTCCAGGCTGTTCTGCTGTAGGCGGTCCTACAGCCGCGTAGGTGGTGTTGGGCCAGAGGCAGCAGCACCCCGGGGAAGGCGGCTGGGTGCAACCCCTGCCCTGTGCAGAGCTGCCTTCATGAGGAGGGAGCCGCCCATGCCCTGCAGCAGTATTAGCCTGGCGGTGGTGGAAGCGCAGCTGACACAGGCACTGATGGCCATCACCACAGCCACTTGCCACAAGAGGCCATTGCCATTCAAATTGTAACTAGCTAAAATTAAATACAGTAAACACTTCAGTTGCTCAGTCACACTAGCCTCATTTCAAGTGCTCAGTGGCCACATGACGCGAGTGGCCACGGTATTGGACAGGGCAGAAATAGAATATCTCTATCACGGCAGAAAATCCTATTGGACAGCACTGGTCCAGAGGGTTTTCCGAGGCTCCGTGGGGCTTGGAGAAGCTGATGGCTCTAGCTAGCCTGGTGACATGTCGAAGACAAGCTCCCCCAGCCCCTAGGCCAGGGGTGGGCAAACTTTTTGACTCGAGGGCCACAATGGGTTCTTAAACTGGACCGGAGGGCCGGAACAAAAGCATGGATGGAGTGTTTGTGTGAACTAATATAAATTCAAAGTAAACATCATTACATAAAAGGGTACGGTCTTTTTTTTTTTTTTTTTTTTTCAGTTTTATTCATTTCAAACGGGCCTGAGCTGGTCGTAGTTTGCCCACGGCTGCCCTAGGCCCTTAACGGGTTTCCTGAGGGACCTTCTTGAGTGACAAGGCACTTGCTTGGAAGTGAATGAACTCTGGCATCCTCAGGGCTCGGAGCCAGGGTCCTCAGGGTCCGCAGGGGTGTGGGCAAGTGCTGTCTATCACCACCACCTGCCCCACCCCTGTTTCAGACCCTCCCCCAGGCATTTCCTCACGGCCCCCATTCTTGGTGCCTTTGGGTGAGTCGATTCCCTGCCGGGGCCTCAGCTCCTTCAGCTAAGAAGTGACCACACCACAGGGATCTCCTCCAACTCTGGCAGCCACTCCTTTGTTAGAGACAACCAGATCTGTTTGTCTTGTTTGTTAATATCCTACAGTGTTGCTGTGGGGAAAGGGAGTGGCAGGTTTTGCTTTAATCTTAGTAGAAAACAAAACCCCCTCAATAGGGCATCAGTGGGGACAGGCCTGCTGGCCCTGCAATGTCCCAGCTTCTCACCAGAACAACTCCAAGATGGAGCTGGACAAGAGGCATGGTTATGGCCCAGAGAGGGTGAGGAACATGTCTAGGTCACACAGCAGCAGAACTGAGATGAGAAGCCAGATTTCCTGACTGTCAGCAAAGCACTACCTAACTCAGAAAAACCAGCGTTTATCAGGCACCAACTGCATGCTGAAAGTTACAGGCAGGGTTTTCCTGGTGAGATAGGTCAGAGGCCTGAGACGTTAGTGGTCTTGGTTGAGGGTCCCCTGTGTTAGGGCGCCCCTTGCAGTGAGCCCGCCAACCTCAACTCTAGGGCTGCAAAATACCTCTTTGCCCGGATGTCCACATGGATGCCCGGTTTAGAAATTCTTTCCCGCCAACAAGGCCTCCTTGAATCCCCACAACCAAACCCATTGAAACCCTTCGAGCTGGGCTGCTTGTCTCCATTCTACAGATTTGGAAACAGGCCCCGTAAGGGGTGTGACTGCCCCAGTCCCACAACAGGAAGTGGCTGAAGTGGGATTGAAGCCTAGATCTGTCTGAGCCTTGGTTCTCCTGGGGCCCATCCTACCTTTTTCTCATCCAGGGTGTGGAGAGTCCAGGACAGGATTGTCCCTGGGGCTGGGCCTAACAGAGGAAGCCCACCCCATAGCAGGGAGGACCTGGGAAGAAGGAAGGGCAGAGGCCTTGTGCCTTTGGTCTTCCTCCAGCCTCTGTAAGCTTATCTTCTCCCCCTGACCGTGGCCAAGCTGGTAGGAGATGGGGGCGGGGGGGGGGGGGGTATGCGGATGGCCGGGTCATTTATTGATTCCCCTGCAGATTCTAAGACTGAGAATGTTGGAGGAGTGACTGCTCCCTGGAGCTGCTGGTGGGAACTCACATCCCACCCCCAAAGCTGCATGAAGGTGTGCGGGGCTGGGGGACCTTCCCCCGGCTCACGTACCCTGCTCCCCCTGTAGTGCTCGGCGCTCTCCAAGCTGAACGCAGAGGTGGCCTGTGTCGCTGTGCATGATGAGAGCGCCTTCGTGGTGGGCACCGAGAAGGGGAGAATGTTTCTGACCGCGCGGAAGGAGCTGCAATCAGACTTCCTCAGGTTCTGCCGTGAGTACCCCGGGACTCTGCAGGGCCAGGGTATTGGGTCCCCAGAAAAACACTGGGTGACTCTGTTGGGGGACGCCCTGGACAGGAGGGGGTTGTGCAGGCTTCCCGACTTGGCAGCCCCCTTTTTAGTTGGAATCATACAGCAGCCCCTCGGTTGGTAGAGCCTGGGTGACTGAACCCCAGGGCCAGCCAGCCCCATCAGCTTATTGACAGAAGGGGACACTGAGGCCCAGTGTTGTCCAGTTCTTGTGCGTCCCTGACACAGAGGCTGAGCACACTTGTTTAATACTTGCTGAGCGCCTGCTGCTGCAACACCCTTCACAGTGCCAACACATTTATCTTGACGTCAACCTTATGAGGTAGGCACTGTCATTGTCATAGTATCATGATCTTGGAGCCACCTCCTGGTGGCTCGGGGATGGAGTGACAGGACACGTCCAGCAGCACACAGGAAATGCTCGGTAAGTGGGAGCAGTTAGTACTGCTCTGATAAATTGTGCTCTGGCCCTGCACGTCCTGCTACTGTTTACTTTTCCCAGCAGGCTTAGGGCACAGTTACAGTTACCCCTGGTTCACAAGCGAGAAACTGAGACTCCGTGAGCATAAGCCACTTCCCCAGGGACATAGCCAACGAGTGAGTGAGGCAGGATCTGAGGCCAGGCCTGAAACCCATGCTCTTTCTGCTACACTCTGTTGGGGTCCAGCCCCAGCAGGTCCAGGGGTTCCCGTAGGTGTGGACAGAGTCGGCGAAGAATGAAGGACACGGAGGTCCTTTCTTGGGGAGGTGGCTCTGTTTAAAACGCATAGCGCTAAGACGGGGAGCAAACATATGCCATATATGCCAGGTCCCTTGAAACATAAGCTGTGCAGATGTTTCTTCGCTGCAGCGACTGTATCAAGCAGCAAGGGTGGACCGGCTTCCGGCAAATTCCCCCATTTTTATTTTTTAAATGACAGCGCATGTAAATCAGCGGCCACCTCTCAGGTTGGTTTGTTTAAGACTCGGAAGAAGACTTGTTTGTGATTTTGCTAACAGGTCAGTCCGAGGCTTAACCCTGTATCAGCTCCCCACAACACTCCTTCAGAATCGGGAGATGCAGCACGGGCACCCCAAGAGCCCTGCCACGGGGTTCGGGTCGCTCTCAGCAGAGACCGACATTCAGGGCTGTGAGCCAGAAACCCCCGAGACAGAGGAGTCGTTCTGAGGCCCCCAACCCTTCAACGCTACTTGAGCCTTAGGCCCCTCCTAACCCAGTCCCTGCCTCTGCATCTCACCTCCCGCCGTTTCTTGTACTTACCCCGGCTGTGTTGCGCTGCCTGCTAGTTCACCAGCCCTGTGTCCCTTCCCATCTCTGCCTCTGCCCCACCTGGAAGGTCCTCATCCTCTCCTCTCCCTGGCAGGTGTCTGCCCAGCCTCCTGCCCCAGGCCGCATTTAGGCCCCTCCATCCCTTCAACCTTTGCTGTGGTTGCTCCCCACACCACGCCAGCCCCCTTTGCCCTAAATTTCCATCTGCGCCTGGTGCCCCAGCTTGGCAGTAAGCTGGGGGAGGTCACCTTCACCTTTCTGGTAGATTCTTGGGTCCTATGGGGTTAGGGCCTGATCCCAGCACTGAAGGCTAGCACTCAATCGAGCATTCGAGCCCACAGTTTGGGACTCGGAGCTCTTGAGTTAAGGGCCGGCCCTGCAGTCAGATGCCCGGGGCCACATTCTGGCCCTGCCACCTGCTTCCTGGGCCTCAACCTCCTCATCTGTGAAAGGGGAGAACAGTGCTCCCCTCCTCACAGGTCCATCTGAGGATTAAATGAATTAATACATGGCAAGCACTTAGAGCAATGCCTGGCACTTAGTTTACACTCAGTGAATGCCTGCGGTTGTCTGACCAGTATAGCGTTTTCCTTATACCCCAGGCCTGGACCCTGGGATCAGCCATTTCAGGGAAAGCCGTCCCTTAGCATTGGACCTATCACTCCTGGGGTCTAGCCGCTTCCCCAGCCTCCCCATCCCACTCAGCCCTCAGAGCCTGCACCCCCTCCAAGGGAGGGCGGGGGGCCGGGGCCGGGTCGGGTGGGCAGTAGCAGGGTCTGTGGTCCCCAGTTGGCCAGGCTGGAAGCCAGACTGGGGCCTGACGAAGGTGCACCTGGCTTCGTGGAGCCAGGCAGAGCCACTATTTATAGCACCGGGAACTCGGGCTGGTTTATTTCAAGCGTCACAGCTCCTCGGAGGAGACCAGGCTGCAAGCTGGGAGGGGGCCTCTGGACTCTCCTCTGGTCTCCTTTCCTGCATGTTTCCCGCAGCTTCCCCACCCAGGGACCCACTGACACGCCGGAGCCTCCACCCTAGCCCAGCCTTGCACGAACCTGCCTCTTCCAAGCCTCTCAGCCCCCTGGTGGGGTCATCATCTCCCCACTTGGCAGAGCAGAAAACGGGGCCACGATCGTTTAAAATGGAGCGTTAGTGTCAGAGCACAGAAAGAGACAGATGGAATAGACATTCGTTGGGCCCCAGTTCTGAGCCAGGCCAGTTGGTCTCCAGGGAGAGCTCACCAACTGAGGCCCAGAGAGGAAAGAGACTTGCGTACAGTCACACAGCAGGTTAGGGGTGGTCAGGGACGAGACCCAGGCCCCATGACTAGCCTGGCCCTACGCAGGGCTTGCTCACCCATTAATTCTTCATTCATTCATTCACTCATTCATTTGCACTTTGTGTTGGTTGCCCTGCTGCGGAGCTCAGCACAGGGCAGGGACAGTCCAGCTCCCTGGGCAGGTGGTGAGATGGGTGCTCACCACCCCTCCGTATGCTCTGTGTCCCATAGGAGGACCCCCGTGGAAGGAGCCGGAGGCGGAGCACCACAAGAGGGTGCCTCGGGGTGAGGCTGGCGGCCGGAACATCGCTCGGTCCACCCTGGAGCATGGCTCAGATGTGTACCTTCTGCGGAAGATGGTAGAGGAGGTGTTTGATGTTCTTTATAGTAAGATCCTTCCTCATTCCATTCGGGGGCCCCAGGCGGGTGGGAGCCCTGGTCCCCACTCAGATGAGGAGGCGCCCTTCTGCCCCACTATGGACCCTAGGCAGCACTTCAGTGCAGCTCTCCTTCCTCCTGCATCTCTAGGCATGAATCTTCCACCCCAGCCGGTGTCCTCACCCACTGTCCCCTCTGCCCCTGCCCAGGCCTCTCACGACAGCCCTCACCTCACCGCCACCTCTCACCCAGAAATGGCCCCAGGCCTCCTCACCTGTGACCAAGGGCATCTTTCTAAAGCACAAGTCTGACCATGCTCTTTTCCTGCACTTCCTTTGGGGGTGCCCTGTCAGGGGGAAGGGTTAGGCTGTACCTTCAGTGTGGCTGGAGCACCCACCACAGCCCCTCCCCGCCCACTTCTCCAGCTGAGCTGGCCGGGCTGACCCACCTCCTGAGCCACTTCCTGTTCTCCAGCACACTCTGGCTCCATTTCACACCCCCTCGCCTTTGCACCACTGTGCCCTTGGGGGCTGCCTTCTCCTCTGTATGGTGGAGACCATGTTACTCTAAGGCTCAGCTCCAGGAAGCCCCCACAGACTGGTTGGGGCCCCCTCTGGATACCCACTGTGCCCTCTCCCCTTACCAGGCAGCTGCTCTCAGCTGGGTCAGGGATGTACCTGCTGTTCCTGTGGTCCCAGCCTGCAGGTCAGGGCCCAGCAACAGCAGGGTTCAGGGGGCATTTGTTGAATGACTGAGGGAAGGCTACCTGGCAGCCAAGTCTTTCCTCTGGGGCTGGGGAGGGACAGGCCTGGCCTTTCTTGGAAAGGGTCAGGCTGCAGAGTCAGGGCCAGTGGCAGCCTTCACACTCCCAGGTGACCTTGGGCAGGCCCTACCTCGTTTATCTCTGACCCACTTTGTGCCTTTCCCCATTCCTCTTGGGTTCTGTGGAGCAAAGGTCTGTGAGGGAGCGCCTGCTGTCATTTAAATGTCGGGCGGAGGCCAGGCAGGGAGATGGGGCCCGGAGGGCCTACGTAAGCACACTGGCCACCCTGGGACACGAGGACTTGTCACTCGTGCTTGGCTATGCCACTGCAGACACTTTGGCCAGCTGCAGGGTTCGTGCCCAGAGTCCCCTCTGCCCCTGCCCACTCTGCCCTGGCCCCCTCCCCCACCTTGAGCAGAATCAGAGGTGGCACTGAGGTGAGGGCTGTCGCATAGAGGCAACAACAGATGCTTCTGAGCCCAGGCCTCTAGGCCCTCCCACCCCCTCGGTTCCCAGCCAGGCTCCCCTCTACTCACCCCTCCCTTCATCCTTTCCATCTTCTCAGCCTGTCTCTCCTCTCTTTCTGAATCCCCTCTTTCTGTTTCCTATTTCTTGTCTTCCTTACTTTCTCTCCCTCTCATTCTCCTCTCCCTTCCTCCCTATGGCTTTTTCCTTGCAATCTCTCTCATGCCCTCTTTTCTCTCTCTCATCTCTCTCACCCCTCCTCGCCTCGTGCCCACAGCCCCACGCCTGCTTTTCCCTCCACCCAGATGTCTCAATGGGTAGCCCTGGCCCTCAGACAATGGGCCCTGACCCACAGCCCCCACTCACCAGCCTCTGGGGTTATTCTGTGTGAAATCTGCATTTAAGGAACTGATGGAGTTCTTGTTCCCTGGGAACCCAGCACCAAGGAAGGTCACTCAGCATGGCCCCAGCTCTGGAGCACGCCTGGCCCCCACCCATCCTGGCTGCCCTCTCACACTAGACCCTCTCCTCGATCCCTCCTCCCACAGGCGAGGCCCTGGGAAGGGCCAGCGTGGTACCGCTGCCCTATGAGAGGCTACTCAGGGAGCCTGGGCTGCTTGCCGTGCAGGGGCTGCCCGAGGGCCTGGCCTTCCGGAGGCCAGCTGAGTATGACCCCAAGGCCCTCATGGCCATCCTGGAGCACAGCCACCGTATCCGCTTCAAGCTCAAGAGGTGAGTGAGGCCGCCTGCCTGGGAGGGGGCCAGGGTCTGGTGGCTGGGCCATAAGGGCTGGGCCAGGAAAGGCTAGGAGGGTGACCTGCTTCCATGCTGGCTCAGCCCCGTGTGCTCATTTCAGACCCCCACAGGGGAAGGGGACCCTGGTTGTAAAAGCTGCCAGTCTGATGGTGGAGGTGAGGCAGAAGTACTATCGTGGAGTGTTACCTGAGCCAGGCGTTGAGTCCCGGAAGGCCTCCCAGGGGATCACTGAGTTGCAAAGAGGCTGGAAGAGACTTGGTTGGGGGAAGTAGCACCGGCAGCACTGCAGACTCCAGGGACGGCCGGGCAGAGTGGAGGTGGCAAGGCAGACCAAGGGCCATCAGTGCTCCAGCCCCACTGTCAGCACACAGGCCAGGAAGAGAGGGGTGCGATGGGAGGTGGAGTGATTAACTGCAGCTGAAAGGACACCGTTGGTGGACTGGGACAGGGCGGAGGGCCGGGCCTGGCTTCTCCGGTCGCCCAGCCATGTGGCCCTGGGGACATCACGCCCCACCCCAGGCCTGCACCCCCACCCGTAGAATGGGGGATGGCTCCTGTCCTGTGTACCTCACAGGCTGTCGTGTTCTGCGGAGGGAGGGCTGGGGGCTGCAGAAGAGATGTAGCCAGCGGACAGGTGCACAAAGCTGTTGTGTGTCCTTGTCTCCTTTACCCAGGCCACTCGAGGATGGCGGTCGGGATTCAAAGGCCCTGGTGGAGCTGAACGGTGTCTCCCTGATAACCAAGGGGTCTCGGGACTGTGGCCTGCATGGCCAGGCCCCCAAGGGGCCACCCCAGGACCTGCCCCCCAGCGCCACTTCCTCCTCCATGGCCAGCTTCCTGTACAGCACTGCACTCCCCAACCACGCTGTGAGAGAGCTCAAGCAGGAGGTGCCCACCTACCCACTTGCCCCCAGCGACCTGGGCCTCAGCCGGCCTGGGCCTGAGTCCAAGACTCCCACTGCCCAAGACTTCTCTGACTGCTGTGGTAAGCTTCTGCTGGGGGCCTTCTACGTGGGACAGAGGTTGCTCACGTAGGGCACCTTCTAGGGCATGTCAGGGTGTTCAGGCCCTCCCAAAACTGAAGGAGGAATGTCGGGGCACAGGGCTGGGGCAGGACAAATGGCATTCTGGCTTAGACCCAGTCAGACACCAGGCCTTCACTCAGCCTTCTGTGAACAGTGTCCTTGGCCTGGGACCAAGAGACAGCCGAGAGGACTCCCGGAGGAATCTATGGAAAACATGCTTGGTCACATGCATTTAATAAGCACCCACTGGATTAGCGATACTGGAAGCGTCAGAGAAGCAACAGCTGGATATGAGAAAGACTTTGTTCATGTCCTGGCTTCTCTACTTAGTGGCTAATGTCCTGTGGCAAATCTTTATCTCTGTGAGCCTCAGTTTTCTCATCTGTACTCGAGCTGTTGTGATCATGATTAAATGACAGAGCTTGTTAGAAATGCACATGCTCAGGCCTCGCGGAAGCCTGGCTGAGTCTGAAGCTTTGGGGGCGAGGCCCAGCTGTCTACAAATTGACAAATCCACTAAGTGGTTCCAGTGTAAGCTCAAGTTTGAGAACTGCTGGCACATAGTAGATGCTCGTAAGTTATGTTTACTATCTATCTTCTACAATAATAAAAGGGTAATATGCTAATTAGACTGCACATCCTTCCTGACAAAGCCGGGGCTAGAGGGAAGCCAGCCCGGGTCCTGGGTGCCTGCCGGCAGCCGGGGAGGGAAGCCGGTACCGGCAGCCGGGGGAAGGAAGGCCTACTCTTGCACGAATTGTTGTGCATCGGGCCTCTAGTTATAAGGAAACAAAAGGACGCCCACACACATGCAAATATGTTGGCTGAGCAGGGGGCTGGGATTCACATGTCTGTTTTGTCCCCACCTGTAAAAGGTGACCTCAGACGTCCTGCCCTCCCTGATCTGCCTTTTGGGTAGCAGAATGTCTCAGGCCTCTGGTTAGAGAACTTGCCTAGAGTTCGTGAATACAGGACTCAGTTCTGGGGTGTTTGTGTTGGGTGACATTGCTACCCCAGAGCCAATGCCTGTGCTCCACAGCCAGATCTGGGGACCCCTCTTGGGGCCCACCTCGAACCTGTATCTTTCCTTTTCCTTGTCCAGGACAGAAGCCCACCGGGCCTGGTGGGCCTCTCATTCAGAACGTCCATGCCTCTAAGCGCATTCTCTTCTCCATTGTCCACGACAAGTCAGGTAGGACAGCGCCCATGGCGGCACCCTGACCAGAGTGGGGGCCGGGGGCTGAGGGTGGTGCTTGATAAAATGGAAATGCGTCTGCCGTCTCTTTGTGAGAGAAAGGACAGCTCTGCACAAGGGACTTGTGAGTAAAACCAGAGTGTAATCATTACATGTTGCTGCATAACAAATTGCCCCCGAAGTTAGCTTAAACCCGCAAGCATTTGTATCTTAAAGTTTCAGTAGGATGGGAATGTAGGAGCAGCTCATCTGGGTGTCCTGGCTCAGGATCCCTCATGAGTCATCGCCATGTCGGCTGTGGCCATGATCATCTGCAAGCCTGACTGGGGCTGGAGTCATCGCTTCCAAGCGCAGTGGTGTGGCTTTTGGCAGGAGGCCTGTTCTCACTCTTTGGGCCTCTGCAGGGCGGCTTGAGCATCCTCACAATATGGCAGCTGGTTTCCCGGCGTTAGTGACCCCAGAGACAGTGAGGAGGAAGCCACATGCCTTTTATGACCTGGCCTCAGAAATCACTGTCACTTCTGCCACATTCTACCCATTGGAAGCCCGAGCTTGATCTAATCCGCACTCCAAGGGAGAGAGAGGAACTCCGCGCCACCTCTTGAAATGAGGAGTATGGAAAAATGTGGGCAGATTGGAAAGTAGCTCACAGAGAGCCGAGAGCAGGAGAATTGGGGATTCGTTTATACCAAAGCGGGATGAAGACTTCCCAGCAGTTTTGCCTCGTGGAGGCTCCGCCGCACCTTCAGTGAGAGACTCTTTTTAGAAAGCCTAGTCCCCTTTGATGAGATTGGGAACCCCACTGCCCCAAACAGGGTTCATCCCTGGCAAGGAGAGGATGTGGGTATCCAGCTGGAGCGGCCATGGTGGGCAAGGGGTCCGATAGAATCTCGCTGGGTACTGGTTGGGTGCTCTGAGACAAAATACTGAGCATCTCTGAGCCTGTTTTCCCATCTGAAAAGGAGAAGTAATATCTATGTTTAAAGGTTGTCATGAGGGATTAAATAGGATATTACATATATATATATATATATATATATATATATATATATATATAGTGCTTAGCACAGATAAGCACTTAATAAAGTAAAGATGTTGCTTTATAATTATAATGACAAACGATCACTCTTGTTATTCAAGTTAAATTGAGGCAGAGGCTTTGGTTTCATGTAAGAGGCCAGTAGGGTGAAGGGTTTAGGGCAAGCCAACAACTCCAAGGCTAGGTGAGACCCCAGATGGATGAGGCATGAGGGCTGGGTCTTTGAGGTCAGGACTCAGCCTCTCTGTTCTCCAAGGGAGCGTTCTCCCAACTGCCTACCTGTCTGGGCAGGAGGAGCCCAGGATGGACCGGCTGAGCCTGCGCCATATCCTCTGCCCGTGGGGTAGACAGAGGCCAGAGGCGGGAGCGGGTGGGGAGACTGTCAGAGCATCCTGGATCTGTGTGGGGCCGCTTCCTGGAGGAGGCTGCGGCGTCAGGTGCGAGGTGGGAACGGGTGGAAGGGCTGTGGAGGGGAAAGCCCAGGACCCAGGGCGGTGGAGAGAGAGTGGCTGTCTCTGGGCACAGCCCCAGCCGGGAGTGGGGGCAGCGGGGGCGTCTCTTCACAAGGCAGCCGGGCCACGGGTCACGTCTCTGACTGGGCCTCACTCGTACCTCCTGTGTTTTGATAGAGAAGTGGGACGCCTTCATCAAGGAAACCGAGGACATCAACACGCTCCGGGAGTGCGTGCAGATCCTGTTCAACAGCAGATATGGTGAGTGGGCGGCGGCCCGCGGTGTGTCCCTGGTGGCGTGTTGAGCATCTCAGTACGTGGCAGTCACTTGTGTTCCCTAACATGACAGCCAGAGCCATATGCTGGCACCCGCATGCCATCAGCGCGAATGTCATCTCCTGTCTGAGGAGGGGGTGGTTGTGTCAATATTTCTCTTCTAGATTCTCCGGGGGGTGGGGCTGATGGCAGAGGCCCAGACCTTGACTCACCTGTGGGAGGCAGGCAGATCGGGGGGCAGGCAGTGAAAAATGGCTGCGTGCAATTCCCCACAGCACCGTGCCCCTGCCTGCCTCCTTGCTTTTGCCTGTGCGGTGCCCTCTGCCTGTCATGCCCTGTACATCTTTTGGAGGCAAAGTCCCACTTGTTCTGTGAGACTTAGCCTGGGCTAGGTGGGCCTCCGAAGCGAAGCCCTGTCAGGTATGGTTGAAAGGGGCTTCTTAGGAATAACAAAGGCTGCCCTTCACACCCCCGTCACTCAGGAAATTACAAGGGTTTTGTGAGTCCTTGCGCCAGGAACCAGAGTTGAAGACCACAGACATACATATTACATCACGTTTCGGTCTTGCTTTCTCCCTTCTCTTCACGCACATTTATTGATCCGCACACTTACCAGTCGTGCATCGCGAGCGCCCCTCCTTGTGCCAGGCTCCCAGGCCAGCTCTGGTCTCTGTTGTTGCAGCAGTTGCTGAAGCTGTGTCTTTGGTAGCAGGCAGTGCTGCACAGCCACACACTCCAGTGTGGGGTAGCACACAGGGACGGGAGCCCTCAGAAAGAGGCAGCTCAAAGGAAGGTGAGTTCTCAGCAGGCTCGGGGAGTCATGAATGGCTTCACTGCGGAGGTGCCCTTTGATCCAGGCTGGAGCTGAGGAGGCCTGGGCACATGGGCTTGACAGTTCCAGGTTGGGGCGGGGCTGAGCAAGGCCCTTGGGGCCTTAGTGAGAAGTCTGGGAGAGGCTGGGTGCCTTTGATGTGGCCATGCAGGCCCACCCACTCCGCCTGGACTGGAGGGCTGTCTGTCTGCACCTGAGTCCTCCAGGCCCCAGGCAGGTGTGAACTGGATGGGAGGCAGGGGGAGGGAGCTGGGGAGGGCTCTGCCCCAGCCCCGCTGGCACGCAGCCACCAGTTTTCAGGCCTGTTGTGGGCTCTTGATGTTTCCGGAATGTGGAACTTTTTCTAGACATCAGCACCTGGGCCCACCACAGCCAGATCCAAGCAGGAATGTTGGACTTAGAGTGGCCCAGGTCTTGCCCTTTCTCAGCCTTCCCGTCAGCTGCCCAGGGGAGGAGGAGGCTCCCCGTGAATATTGGGGATAACATTGGGCGACCTGAGGCATCCCGCAGACCCCGGATGAATAGATTCTGCTTCTGGTTCTGTCCTTCCAGCTACCAATTCTGGGGGAGGTGATGTGGCTGGGGTGCAGAGGGAAAAATAACGAAGGAAGGGGGGGCAGCCTTTAGGGAGCCTCAAGGACATTGTCACCTGGGAAACGTAGAGACTAGACGAAGGGTGTCGGATGGTGCATGGCGGCTTGGTTCTCCCTTCCCAGCCCTGCTGCAGCTGGGGGCTGGGCAGGGTCATGCCTCCGTCCACCGGAGCCCCTTGCTGCTGAAAGGCAGGCCCGCACATCTGATGAACCCCGGTGGAGATGGATTTACGTAGACTCGAGGAACCTATTGCTCAAGTGCTGGGGCTGGGGCGTGGCTGGCGATGTTGGAGGTGGGGAGTCGGGGGAAGAAATGGTTTGACAGCTGTTGAGATTTCGAGGGTTTAATTTGACAGTGAATTAAGTGTGACTTCACAGTGGGATCTGGCTGCCAAAGCCGCCAACGCAGACCTAGGCTGCATCAACAGGAAAACAGTGTCGGCAGTGTCCCAGGAAGGGCCCCAGACAGTGCTGCTCTGCCCTGGTCAGGGCACGGCTGGAGGGAGGTCCAGCTCAGGGCTGATTGTTGTCAGGACAAAGACAAAACCTGGTGGGGACACAGACAAGGCCAGTATGGGGAAGGGCCTAGGGAGCAGTGAGAGATGTGGGACCCTTGGGAGAGAACAGAGTAGCAAGGCAAGAGTGGACACCGGCCCTGGCTGGTTTGGCTCAATGGATAGAGCATCGGCCTGTGGACTGAAGGGTCCCAGGTTCGATTCTGGGCAAGGGCACATGACCCAGTAGGGGGTGTGCAGGAGGCAGCCAATCGATGATTCTCTCTCATCATTGATTTTTCTATCTTTCTCTCCCTCTCCCTTCCTCTCTGAAATCAATAAAAATATTTTTTTTAAAAAAAGAGTGGACACCCAGCCCAGCTCATCTCCTGAGACCTCCCAGGCCTTGGGGAGAACAGGGAGCGCATGAAAGCACCATCCAGCTCTGGCCAGGTGGCTCCGTTGGTCGGAGTGCCATCCATACACCAAAAGGTTTCGGGTTCAATTCCCAGTCAGGGCACATACTTAGGTTTTGGGTTTGATCCCCGATCGAGGACCAGATGGGAGGCAAGCTATTGATGTTTCTCTTCCTTTCTCTCTAAAAATCAATTTTTTTAAGTGCCATCAAGCACACCGTGGGTGCTCAAGTAGTGTTTGGTGAGTGAATGAATAAGCACATAGAGAGCTGGGGTGTGAGTGAATGTCTGAAATGCCAAGACCAAACCTAATAGTCCAGAGGAAGAGAACAAGTGACCACTCATGAGCCCGGGTTCTGTCAGCAATGCTGTCAGCTTCTGGCCCGAATCTCATTGATGTCACTGAAGGGTGAGAGGAGTGCCAGGCCCTCGCTGGAGGAAAAGGCTCACCGGTGTGGCCAGCGGCATCCGGCCAGAGCCACCTGGAGCCTGGGGGCTTCCTGCAGCCATTCACTCACTCAGTGGAAGTGCAAGGAGCACTGTGGTGTGCCAGCCCCATCTGGATCCCAGATGTGGGGCAGCGAGGACACCCCGCTCCCATGGAGCTTAGGTTCCAGACAGCACACCAGTGACTAGACAAGCATGTCCGCAATGGCAGGTCCTGTTAAACTCGGGGTGAAAAACAAAGCGGGGTGGGCTTGGGAGGGGTGGAGGGGGCTGTTTTAGGCTGATGAAGTGGCATTTGACAGACACTTGGAGAAAAGGAGAGAGGGGAGCATCTGGTTACGTGGGAGGAAAGTATCTGAATAAACAGGAGAGCAGGAGCAAAGGCCCTGGGGTGGGTGTGTGCCTGGCCTGTTAGGAAAGCAACAAAAAGGCCTGGAGACTGGAATGAGCAAGCAGCGGGGTGAAAGGGGTGGGGGAGATAAGGTCCCAGGTGATGGGGTCCTGGTCCCATCGAGCTCAGAGGCCCAGGTAGGACTTTGACCATCCCTGAGTGAGATGGGAGCCTGTGGGCATTTTCCAAGAGAGATGACGTGATTTGACATTTCAGCATGGCCACTGGGTGGCCAGAGGTGCCGGGCGGTGGGAGGTGATGATGACCACGGCCCTGGGCCCTGCGTGTCCTGTGGCCTTCATGTTGCACTCAGCCTTGCCATTGCCTTTCCAGCGGAAGCCTTGGGACTGGACCACATGGTCCCCGTCCCCTACAGGAAGATTGCCTGCGACCCGGAGGCTGTGGAGATCGTGGGCATCCCGGACAAGATCCCCTTCAAGCGTCCCTGCACCTACGGGGTTCCCAAGCTGAAGCGGATCCTGGAGGAGCGGCACAGCATCCACTTCATCATTAAGAGGTGCTGGGTGGGTTGCAGGGGGCATGACCTTTGTTCCACGCTAGGCCTGGGTTGGTTCAAGGTATTAGGGTGTGTTGCCGAAACCGGTTTGGCTCAGTGGATAGAGCGTCGGCCTGTGGACTGAAAGGTCCCAGGTTCGATTCCGGTCAAGGGCATGTACCTGGGTTGCGGGCATATCCCCAGTAGGAGATGTGCAGGAGGCAGCTTATCGATGTTTCTCTCTCATCGATGTTTCTAACTCTCTATCTCTCTCCCTTCCTCTCTGTAAAAAATCAATAAAATATATTTAAAAAAAAAAAAAAAAAAGGTATTAGGGTGTGAAGGCTGGGCAGGGGCAACAGCAGGCATGAGGCAAGGGCCCTGGGGAGGCGCCGATGGGGCGGGGATGGAATGAAGTGGTTCTCCGACTTAAAGAGAGAACTAGGCAGACCTGGGAGAGAATTCTGACCCTTTAACCTAACAGCGGTGTGGTCTCCTCTTGCCTGGGGAGAGGTTGGCCCTCCTAGTTGGCAGGAGAATTGCCCTCACAGGTACTGGACTCACCACCAAGCTTGTACCAGCAGTTCCAGGCAATGCCCAGACTTCCCGGATGATCCCTCCTAAATGGTTAGAGATGGAGGGGTGGCCAGAGGCCGAGCTCGCCAGCCCCCTGCCTCCAGGCAGCACTGCATGGTCCCTCCCCAGGCATCTGTTCCGGATGTTTCCTCTTGGCGGTGTGAGCTGGTGCATTCATTTACGCATGTGCCTGCTCGCTTATTTGTTGCCACTAGACTATAAAGTAAGCAGGGACCGTGGACAGGGCTGTGTTTGGCTCATTACTGAATCCCCAGTGACCATGACAGTCCCTGGTAGGTAGTAGATGCCTAATACAGATCTATGGAATGCGTGAGCAAATGCACGCACGCACGCATGCTTGGCCAAGTTGGGCTCATACCTTCTGACTTCTTAGAGCTTAGGAAGTAACCTGGGTAATGGGAGAAAGAGAAATGGGTTGAGGGCGCCGACGTAGGGTGGTCAGGGGCCTCTGAGAGAAGGCCCCATCTGTTAAGCCAGAGCTGGGAATCTAAGAAGGGTGGGCCCATGTAGAGCTGGGCAGTGTTTGGGCGGAAGGGATGGCCTCAGCGAGCAGCCTAGATTGCCTGGGGCTGCAAGGAGGCCGGGAGTGAGCAAAGGTTGAGAATTGCTCTAGGGTGGTGGGTAGGACTTCTGCAGGGCGGGTAGAGGCCAGAGGCGGGGTCTCACAGGCCCTCTGGCTGCGGGGAGACTTGAGCAGAGGTGGGGAGACTGGCAGGAGGCTGAGCAGTGAGCCAGGCCAGCGTGGCCGGTGGAGGGAGAGAAGTGGCGGGATTTGGGACAGATGCTCAGCTGTGATGGGGTTTGCTGGTGGATGGAATGTGGGAGCCGGGAGGGGAGCAGGGAGACAGGGATCACCCCCATGTTTCCGAGTGAGTTCACGTTGGATATGTGAACTCAGGGAAGATCAGGAGATGACATTCTCAGAGGCCAAGTTGAGATGTCAGGAGCTCTGGAGAGAGGCCTGGGTTAGATAAAAATCTGAACATTGTCAGTCTGGGCCAGGAAGGGATCTCAGGGAAGAGAGGGGTGGAGATAAGAAGAGAAGAGGGCTCATGTGAGAGGCCTGGGCGAGGACAGAAGGCTGAGGCAGCTGGCCAGGACTGTGGGTGGGCCTCCTGATGCCTCCCAGGAGATGATTCTGGAAGTCAGGGCTGATAGTGAGGGTCTCCCACCCAGAAGCCTTCACCGCCTCTGGCCCTCAGGGTGCAGGGCACACTCTGGCCTGTTGGCAGCCACCGAGCCAGCCTTCTTGCTGCCCTGCCTTCCCACATCCCCAGGAACTCCTGCCACCTCCCCTGCCTGTGGGCCTTTGCTGAAGCTCTTCCTCCACCTGGACCAGCTTCCCACCTGTCTCTGCCTTTCAAGGCTTGCTTTTGTTTTTCTCAGCGTCTGGAAGACCACGCCCCCTTCCTTCATTAGCACACTCCTTGCTTGCATCTGCATTGGAGCCATTTCATGCGCTTTTACAACCCTCCTGTGGAGCCCACTTGATGAATGACTCTGGAGGTGCATTGTAGTCAGTCATCAGGCAGTGTTACTGCTGTCTAGCTTAAATCCCTCTTGCTGTTGCCTAAGTCCATTTTCTTCCGTTGACTCTTAATAGGGGGGTAGGGGAGAAGAAAACAACAAGGACATCCCAGTGTCCCCTTATGTGCTTGACCGTGTGTTTCATCTCCCTCAAGCCAAACTATAGCTCATTTAATGCTTCACTAGCATGTCCCTCCTACACGCTCAGCCCTTCACTGGCTCCCCTGAAGATTTTATGAAAGAGCAGGCATAGTCCCCACCTGCTCCCAGAGGCCACTGCCCATCATGAGGGGTGGTCACTTCGAAACGTTCCCGGTGTAGACTCAATGGCATTTGAGCAGCAAACCCATGGGGCTTCCTGGATGAGGCAGCTTTGGCATCAGATGACTGGGCTTGAAGCCACTCACATCTTTTTTCTTTTTTAATGTATTTTTATTGCTTTCAGAGAGGAAGAGATAGAAACATCAATGATGAGAGAGAATCATCTATTGGCTGCCTCCTGCACACCCCCAACTGGGGATCGAGCCCATAATTCCAGCATGTGCCCTGACTGGGAATCGAACCATGACTTTTTGGTTCATAGGTCGATGCTCAACCACTGAGCCACACTGACTGGGTGACCACTCACATCTTGATAACGTTGAATAGCAACTTCTCTTCTGAGCCTGTTTCCTCCTCTCTAAAAACAGGAACAATGGTTTTCTTCAACATAAACTGAGGAAGTGGACATAACACACCTGACATGCTCCATAAACACCGGTTCTTTTTCTTGACCTCACTTCCCTGATATATAAAGTAGTAGCTAAGCACATCAGCCCTGATGGCCTAGGTTCCAATTCTGGCCCCACCATTTCCCAGCTATTGAGCATCGACCTATGAACCAAAAGGTCACGGTTCGATTCCCAGCCAGGGCACATGCGTGGGCAAATTACTTGACTGCCCTGTGCCTCACTTGTCTCATCTGTAAAATGGGGCTATAGTGATTGTCCATGCACTAAATGACTAGAACAGTTGCTGCTCCGTTCTGAGCCCTGTGTACATTTCCCACTACTACACATCTCAGCCTCATCAATAGAGCATCTGGGATCATTCTAGCGACATGGGTCAGAAAAAAAGGGGGCTTAGGAAGCAGCCAGAAGGTGGAGTCTCTGCCTCAGCCTAGGTGTCTGCCCAGGGTGGGGAGAGGGCAGGGTGCTCTCCTACAAAAGGAGAAGCCCCTTCTCAAGGCCTGTGCTTCTTGTTGGTGGCAGGGGGCTCCCTGGCCCCCAGGTTCACACTTGTGCCGAGCCCTGGCCTCCAAATCCCCGTCCCTCCAGGACATGAGCCCCTGGTGAGGGCATCTGAATTCACACCGGAGGGGACGACATGTCAGTTCCACCTGAGGCAGAACTTAAGAGGGAAAGTGTGTGGCCTGTGCGGTGGAAGATTACAGTTACGTGGTCAACGCCCATCCAACGGCCCTTACGCTAGGCAGCCTGTGAGAATGTCCGTCACAGTCTTAGAGCCACCATCAGACCTTCTCCCTGTCATCTGCCCCCCAACTCCACCGGGGAACTGCACGAGCCCCCATCCTGTGCTCCCCATAAATAACTAAAACCATAAATAATAAAACCACAGGGACACTGGCAGCCTCCGGTCCCTGGGAGAGGCTGAGGAAGCCACTTTCCTCCAGAATTCCTCCCTGGCTGCTTCTGGGCCACGTGGGACCCCGTGAGCACGGGCCTCCGGGAGCAGCAGGGGAGCCGGGCTGCTCGGAATGAGAACGGGAAGCCATGCCTGAGGTCAGGTCGTGCTGTGGCCTCACCGCCCCGGTGACTGGGCCCTGCATCCTGTTGCTAACTGTTTTGCATGTGTTTGACTTTCCCACTGGGCCCAGCTTGGGCATTGCCCCTTGCTTTTGGACTCAGACCTCCCCTTCATTGGTCCCATGCCGCTGCTGTAGCCTGGGTTCAACGACTGAGGGCCGGTCCCCTTGTCCAGCCATTCCCTGGCATACAGGCTTGACTGCAGGCCCCAGACCCACTGCCCAGGACTCCCCAACCCACTGGGTGCCACCCTGGTTGGGACTAAGGACAGACCACCTTGCCCACCTTTCCTCCATCTCATTTTCCTGGCCAAATTTCTAGGTCTCTCGCCAGCATGACTCAGGGGTCTCTGACTGGCCCAGCCTTCCAGCCATCCCCCTTCCAGTCCATTCTCTGGGTGAGGATGGAGTGATCTGATAGTGCTGTGCCCCTCGGAGCTCCTCATTGCCCACAGGGTGACCATGTGCCTGAGCATCAGCCAGGTGGAGCTTCCCTGCACCCCCACCCCTCACCGCCCCCCCGCCACCGCACCCCGTGGTTTATCTAGAGAACCTCTCAGCCATCTCACCTGAGTTTGGCATCCCTCCCCTGAAGTCTTTCCTGACTCCCTTTCTGCTTGGGCCCCCTGGGCTTCTGAGACACATGAGGGGTCCCAGGTGTCATCTTGCATGTCTGTGACCTGATGACAGGCCTGGCTTATGCAGTCACCAGACAGCTTCTTGGGAGCAGGGTCTCTCCATGACTGTCCCTGAGACACAGGCAGGATTGGGCAAAAGCCTGCGGGGCCCTGGTGGGAAAGGCGTGAGTCATCCATCAGCTGTGGCCTTGAGAGCTCAGGGCTGGACGAGGCCCCTGAGGCATCGTGCTGAGCATGTTGGACCATCCAGAACCCCCCGGGGGCCTGCCCATGCCTTCCCTGGCTGAGGAGAAATGGTTTCGGGTATCTGGCTGTTGGGGTATCTGGCTGTTCCAGACCACACCCTCTCCTGTCCTCATGCGGCCACAGCCCCGGTCCCAGGTCTGCAGCTATAGCCGTGCATGTAGGACTCCAGTGACCGTCACTGAAGGGGGGACCCTGAGCCTGCGGGAGCCCTGCGGCTACACCGCTCTCATGCCCGTCTCTCCTCTCTCTCCAGGATGTTTGATGAGCGAATTTTCACAGGTATGTGTGGGTACCATCTTATCTTTCTGAAGCACCAAGCTGATGCCCCCAAGAGTGCTTGAGCTGCCATTACACTAGGCCTGGGACGGAGAGGATCCTGGGTGTGGCTTCTGCAACCCGGGCAGGCACAGGCCCCCAGCTCCCGGGAGCAGACACCCCCCCGAGACCTGGGATGCTCTGAATAGCGAACAATAAAGCTAATGTTTTCTGAATACTAACATGTGCCAGGTACTCTTCTAAGCTGTTCGAATACTTCATTTTAATTAAATTGCGTTTTCAACAGCCCTATGAAGTGTTCTCTTTTTCTTTTCCCCGAAGCCCAGCTAGTGAGCAGTGGGGCCTGGCATGTGGCCCCAGAGCCCGGGCCATAGCTGGTAGAAAGCAGGCCTCTGAGGGGGAAGCCCCCTCTGCCTGGTTCAACAAAGGGAGCTCGGATGTTGGGGTGCAGTGTACCTGGGTCCCAGTTCCGGCCCTACCTCCCACTAGCTTTGTGACTGTTGGCAGGGTTTTATGGTCCTCAGTTTCCACATCTGTGAAGTGGGTGTGATAAGAGCACCTTCCTCTGGGTCCCTGGGGTAACTACATGAGAGAATGGCCCAGTCGCACGGCCTTCGGGGAGACTCAGCCCCTTTCCCGAGGGCTCCCTCAGCCCCAGCAACCTGTGGGTGGTCGGGACTGTCATTGCTGGCAGCTCCTTCCTCCTTCCTCCTTCCCAGTCCTCGCAGATCCCTGGCCCCCCTGGCACTGTGGCCCTTATTCCTTCTCCCAGGGAAGGCCTCTTTCCTTAGGACCCACCCTGGCCCAGCCAGACATGGAGCCTGCAAGATGGAGGGTCCGAGACCAGACCACACCCAAGGGTGCTCCCAAGAGCTTCACGCAGAGTCCCCTGCCCAGGCAGGAGGAGGCTGGAGAGCCTTCACCCTGACCTCCCCGCCCCTCCCCAACTCTCCACCCAGGGAACAAGTTTACCAAAGACCCCACGAAACTGGAGCCAGCCAGCCCGCCAGAGGACACCTCTGCAGAAGTCTCCCGTGCCACCGTTCTTGACCTGGCAGGGACTGCTCGGTAAGGCCACACCCCAGCTCCGAGCCCATGAGCACCCCCACTCTGGATGAGGTAGCGGCACCTGCAGGGAGGAACAAGGCCTGGGACTGGCCCGGGATGCTGTGCCCACTGTCTCCCAACCCCCTGATCCCTTTCACAGGCACAGGGTCATCCCGCGTAGACACCCTGACACACAGTGTGTCCTCACCCCACTGGGGCAGGGAGATAAAGGGACAGAGAAGGACAGACCGCCGATTTTCCTCCACCTGGAGAACTCGTCCCCCCTTGGGAACTAGCTGCATGTCACCTGGTCTCAGAAGCCTTCCTTGGCAACCAGGCATCTGCCCTGTGTGTCCACAAGGCCCTACACTCAGATTTTGGCCCAGTCACCATCTACCAGCGCCACCCACACAGGGGTGGGCCATTTATCCCAAGTCCCCATGTCCTGCCCAGCTTCCCCTCCAGGCTCCATGAATTAACTGAATCATCCATCCAGGGACCCTGCCCAGCTTTTGCTTCCTCTAGGCTATAGCTCTCAGTCCTCCCAGAAAGCACTGGTCAACCCCCCACTGTGCTAAATTGAGCCCCCAACGTGGTCAGAGCGAGGCCTCAGGAGCTCCCAGCTCGGGGGGAAGGTGGACACCCAGACAGTTCACCCCAGGAGAGCAAGCAGGCTCTTGTCCCGACACTGGGAACCGTGCTGTTCAGAGGGCCATCCTGTGGGGCTGGAGTGAGCGTGGTCTGAGGTGCATTCTGATTGGCAGCCTGGAGGGCAGAGCTGGGCTGGTGCCATGTCGTTTCTCGGCTTCCTTCCCACAGGTCAGACAGGAGCGGGATCTCTGAAGACTGTGGGCCAGGTGAGGAGGGGCAGGACCCCGCAGGGTGCAGCACCCCACCATGAGCCTGGAGTCCTAGTTAATATCCTCTGCCCACCCCTGCCCCTCACCCTCCAGGCCTCAGAGCATCTGGGAGTTGCAGCACAGCTGGGAGCTCACGGGGTGGGGGCAGGGAGGGGCAGGTGGGATTTGGTAGCGCGGAGGGAGTTGGGAGACCTGGATTCTGGCATCACCACTACGTCCTAGTATGTCTATGGCGAGTGGCTTTCTCTCTGTGGGCATCAGCTGCCAGGTCTGTAAATTAGAGCCACCAGGCCTGGCCTGCCGTCCTGCCTGGCCCTCTGTTCCTGGTCTGGGCAGGAGCATAGGGGCCGATACTTTTCCTGGGTGCTACCAGCAAGTCCCAGACGATAGGATGTTTTGGAATGGCTCGCCTTGCCTAGCCACGCTCACATCCGCATTTGACTGGATCTCTTGTCTCCTCCCAGGAACCTCCGGGGAGCTGGGGGTGCTGAGGCCCATCAAAATGGAGCCAGAAGATCTGGATATCATTCAGGTCACCATCCCAGGTAAGGGACGAGCATCTAAGGGCTGCCCCTGTGGCCCCAACCTGACCCTACAGGAATCGAGCAACCCCCACAACAGGGCTCCTATGGGAACCACCCTATGCCCTCCCCGCTAGACTAGGGTGACCCCTATTGGTTCTCTAGTTCGGTCCCGAGGGTGGTGGGGCATCGCATATGCCTTCTGCAGCCACATCTGCCCTGTGTGCCAGGAGTCAGGCCCCAGCCCCAGGCTTCCTAAAGGCTCCCTCCCGCCACCTTTACCTCTCTGGCCTGGCTCCCCTGGGATTTGGGAGGCAGGAGGGAGGAGAAGAAAAGTCATTGGCGTAAGAGGATCTGAGTTTGACTCCAGACTTAGAAACTCCAAGCCTCAGTTTCCACGTCTGTGAGGACGGTGTACTTGGCCGCTGGAGGGTCAGCATGGGGTAACCACTGAGCCCATAGTTCCAGGCCCCTGGCCCTGCCTGGCCTCTGACCATTAAGGCTGCCCTCCCAGAGTCCCAGGGCACGGCTTCCTACAGGGTCCTGCTCTGGTGACATGCTGGACTCGGGTCCCTGAGGGACCGTGACGGGGTGGGACAGGCAGGAGATTCTCTTATCATTTGGAGTTTTACCTCCAGACCCGTCGCCAACCTCTGAGGAAATGACAGATTCGATGCCCGGGCACCTACCCTCGGAAGATTCTGGTTATGGGATGGAGATGATGACTGGTAAGAAATGGGCTGGGGACAAAACGAGTGACTGGAAAAATAAATAAAAAGGCTTCCTGCAGGCGCCAGTGGGTGGTGCCGTGTGAATCGGTGACGGAATAAAGGCACAACATCTCCGCCCCCCGTTTGCTCCATTCCGGTTAGGGAGGATGGTCTGGAAATGGGGGAGAGCGAGGAGGACCTGAGAGCCCCATTCGCTAAGGAGTTGCGTGGGTCTGCGGAGCTGCTGTGGATGAGTGCACATCTCCAGCTGCCCGACAGTTAGATCCCAGGCAACTAATCCCTGAGTTCCACCGTCCATAGCACTTGAGAAGCGATGGTGGTTGGAAGCAGAGCTGTCAAAAGAAAACGCACTTCACGATGAGGTTTTGCCCAAATTGCAGTTAGGCAGACTGGGCATCAGTCCCAGGCACAGTTCTGGAAAAGATTTCCACACAAATGACTGGGAGTCATCAGAAGGGACCGTGTGGGCCATGCATGAGGGGCGAGTCGGGGAAGCAGGGCTGCAGGGGTACCTAGCCTTCACCTGGGGAGGTTTCCTGTGCTGGCCTGAAGGGCTCTGTCCTTCCAGGAACCTTAGTCCGGCGGATAAAGGGACCTCGGGCAGTAGGACCATGCAATATGCAGATGCCTCGGGAAGGAATGGGGAGTCCACCCAAGACTGATGTTCTCTGTGGCTTTGACAGGCCAGAGCACTGGGCTGAAATGCACAAGAACTCACAGCCCAAGGACATGCGTCATGGGTTGTGTTCCCCAGGGGACAGAGATGGAGTTTAATGTGTGGGATGTTTATTGGGGGCCGCCCTTGCGATCAACACCTATGTAAACAAAGGGATGGAAGCACAGGGGGCAGAAGGAAAGGTTGAGCCATGATGCAACCCCAGTAACAGTCTCCACCAACCACACGGGGGGCTGTGGAGCCAGAACAGCCCCCCAGAGTTCTGAGTTGAACTGGGGTGTCCTGGTCTTTATTCCTCAATTGGTTATGGGATATGGGCTGGCCCTGAAGGGCGGTCCTTGAAGGGGCAACCTCCCTGGGCTGCCAGCTCACCACAGTCTCTGCTGTTGGGGCAACAGGCTGGGGATCTTGGTGGTACATGCCAGTGTCCACCATGACATGCATGGGCATCTGGTTGTGCCAGCAAACAGACAGCGAGTGGATGGGCGCAGAGGATTGAGGGCTTGCACAGGGCCATGTCTTCTGCACCTTTTAATCGGATATAACTTTTGTTGAGTGTATTGGGAAATGGGTACTCACTCGGTGCAAATGCAAATGTGAAAATTGCTTTTTAAAGAAATTTGAAAATCCTAGCTAATGAAAAAGTAATATGCAAATTAACCATCACTCAGCAACAAAGATGGTGGCCACGTGGAGGGAGGGGAGGGGCTTCTGGCTAGAGGCCTGGGCGCGGGACACTGGGCTCACCTTGCCCCCAGTGACACGAGCCCAGCGTCCACGTCCCAGTCGCATGGAGGGAGGGGAAGGGCCCCGGCCACGTGGAGGGAGGGGAGGGGCCTCTGGCCAGAGGCCAGGGCAAGGGGCGCTGGCATCGTTGCAGGCCAGGCTGAGGGACACACACACCCCCCCCCCCGCACGAATTTCGTGCACTGGGCCTCCAGTAATAATAATAATAATAATGATAATAATAAAAGAAGTTTGTCAGCTTGAAGAGCCATGAAAATGAGCTCCCTGTGGTCACCCCAGAAATACAGTCCGAGGAAAATATCTGCAATATGGACAGTATTTCCTGCACAGTGTTTGTAGCCGTGTTACTGATGACAATGAAAATTGGAAAGAACCAGGGCGCCGTTAATGGTCTCCTCCTGACACAGCCACTAAAAATAGGCAACGAAGGAGAATGCAAAAGACAAAAAATCGAGTGTGCTCTGTTGACAACTATATTGAAAACATAATCACTAGTTAAAAAAAAGAAACATCAAAACAGAAGCTGTGTTAGGTTCGGTGCTTTATCTTTCTCGTCTCCTAAATCAGCTGTGATGTGTTTTCCATCCCTTGGTGATGAAGAAGGAATAGTATTTGTCAGGCACGGGCTGGGTGTGACCAGACTTGACAGCCGTGTGTGTAGACGGTGGGGAGCTTAGCTGGCCAGAGGCTCAGGGTGAGCTGCCAGTGTGGCCTGGCCACTAGGAGGTCCCCTGGTGCCTGGCTGTGCTCACAGCAGTATTCGAGGATAGCATCGGGGTCCCAGTTTGGCGACCTAGGGGCTGGTGGCACGAGAGGGTGGGGGGCATGGACCAGCACGGTGCCCCTTCTGTTGGAAAGGGTTCTCCCTGCTGGTTTGACAGCAAGAAACTGCACACAGGCTGATGCACGGGCTACTGTTTTGTACACTCTGTCCCTCGTGTCCTCACCGTGGACAGCTGTGCAGCAGCGTGGTATCGCTGTGTCGGCACGCCCGTGGTCACTGATTGAGGTTGTTTCCGGTTTCCCACTGTTGAATGGGGAGCAGTCAGCTTGTGGACAGGAATGTTCAAAGTCAATGGCAAGTTCCCCTTATTTAGAATGTGGACCCCCAAAGCACCTGCCCTGTGTGCCAGGAAGAATAAATCAATTTTTTTTTTTTATTTATCTCCCGCGCCCTTTGAAAGATTCCCCAGGAGAGGACCTAGTCCAATTTGAGGGGGCCCAACGAGACTGGCATAAGCCACTCCCAGTTTGGGGCCCTGTGAATGGCTGGGTCAGGGCCTGGTGCTCTAGACTGTTGCTACTGCCGGGGGACAGAAGGGGGTGTTGGCACTGCAACATGGACAGCTCATGGCAGGGGCAGACTCCAGGGCCCGGTCTCCCCCTCTCCTGTGCCTCGCAGGCGACCTGGTGAACTAAACAGGTGTTCCAGGTGTGGCATCATTGCCATCTGGCAGCTTTCTGCATCCTAGGATAGACACAGTTCCTGCCTCCTTGTCACGGGCACCTGCCCAGGAACCCCTCCCTGGTGGCCCTGCTTGTCCCTCTGTCCCCACCAGACTCCTGCCTTCCTGTCTGCCCTGCTCTCCAGCGTATTAGTGGGTCCCCCAGAAGCTGGCCGAGAGCAGTGCATTGATTCATCTGGGAGGAGGTCGGGGACACCAGGTGGGAAGTGGGGCTGAGGCAGGACAGTCGTGTTACCAGGTGTGTGGCCACTGCAGGCAGCTGAGCGGAGGGCCCATGAGACCCACTCGTCATGCGCTGAGATGATGCAGCCGGGTGAAGAGGGAGCTGGGTTAGTGATCTGCCAGATCACCCCCCATCATTGGCTGAGAGCTGTTTTCAGGGCATTAACCACAAAGCTGTTGGCTGGTTCTTCTCCCACAGCCAGTTCTTCGGTCACATGGACCCAGCACGCACTGCCTGCAGGGTGTCCATTTCCCTGAGGAAAGGTTAGGCCTAAACCTCAGGGCTGGCCCTCCATCTTTTCAAGTCGGCTGCATAGATGAAACCTTCCAGCTCCTTCCAGGCTGAGCCCCAAGGCTCAGGCTTATCTGATGACCCCAGATGTGTGGGCTCCCCTTCCTCAATCAGTGATCGGGCCTTGACCATTGACAGCTCTCCCAGGATTAGCCCCTTTCCTTCAGCTCTGGGCAGGGGGACGGTGCCCTGCACCCCTCACCACTGCACGCTCTCCAGAGCTGGGAGAGCAGACCTGGGGTCCACCTGCTCCACCATCCCCAGCTCAGCTGCATGTCATGGGCTAAAAGGAGCTGTTGGAGGGCTTAGTACTGCGTGTGAAGGCACCAGTGAGCTTCCTACGTCACAGCTCCCGTCTAATTGTCACAAATGGTGAAAATCCCTGTACCTTCCTCAGCCCCAGCAATAAAGGCCATTGCCGAGGGCCTGTACCCATCAGGGACCTGGCCCATTCACCCCACTCCCACTGTCACAATTCCCATGTCATCCCCAGCCCAAACCCATCACCTCAGAGTTCGCCCCCTCCCCATGTTGTGCCTCCCTCCTTGCCTGTGTCCCTCCCATCCTCTGCTTTTCATGGACACCGGGGTCCAGCCCAGGCATCCCCTCCTGCAGAAAGCCTCCCGCCTCGGACCCCCCAGGCCAGCAAGGACCCTCTCTACCTCCACGCAGCCTCAGCAGCCACCTCCCATTTGCTGCCCTGCGTCCTTGCTACCTGTGGACAATAAGCATCTGGAAACAAGGTTGGACCCATAGCTGGCAGCCTGGGCTGGTGCCAGTGCCACCTCACCAGCCCCACCCCCTGACCACCAGACCTGGGATGGCTCCATGCCCTACACCTGCCCCTCCCTCTGTGCCCTTATCTGATTCTGTTTCTCTCGATGGCATCAGTACCATCTGCCAATGTGTGTTATGTCTGCATCATTCCAGGAGGACAGGGCTTTGTCTTGCTCCTGTGTGTCCTTGGTGCCTGGAACGGAACGTAGTGCGTAGTAAGAAGGACGGACAGGCACGGGGCTGGCCCTCGGGGGTGCTTGCCAAATGTGATGGGATGCCTGGTCTCTGAACCTGCCCTCCTCACGTGGGGCTGAGGGCGGGGTGCCTGTGCTCAGTCAAGATCCCTGATCCCGTCTGGGGGTCACTATGCCAGCTCCAGCGTCAGAGCCCCCCGGCCTGCCACTCCTCACCTGTCTGACCTGACTTTGGCACCACAGGGTGCAGGAGGTGATGAACGTGGCTTCCCAGCATCCTCTCTTCTCTTTCAGACAAAGGCCCCAGCGAGGACCTGCGGCCAGAGGAGCGGCCTGTGGAGGGTAAGGCACTGACCACCTCCCCATCTCTGCGGCCTCCCCTGCCCCTCATCTCTCCTTTCTCTCTCTTCAACACCTCGTTTGGGGATGGAGTCCAGTGGGCGGCCTGAGGTGGGAGGTTTGCAGACCTGCTTCCTAGAAGGCACCTGGTCAGAGGTACCGCAGGGCTTTCTGGGAAGGGAAACTGTAAGGCTTTCGATTTTTGCTTTTATACACACTTCTTTCCACGAAGATTTTTTTCCCTTTCTTTATTTCTTAATTGTTTGCCCCATCATCCACAAAGATCTTAAGGATGAGGGCTGAGTCGGTCTTCCTGAGCAAGTGCAATGTCGGCCTGAAAGCCCAGAATGGGCTTGGTGTCCATCAGGCATGCTCAGTCTTAGGAACACGCTCACTCCCTTCCTGCTGAAAATGAGAGTAGGCCAGGAAGGGGGGGCCAACGTGAGGATGGGCCCGTTTCATCTCAGGAGTGGCTGCTCCTGCAGTGGAATGAGTGGGTGTCAGAGGAAAGGAGAGAAGGGTCACTTCCCCAACCAGGCCAGGCAGCTGGAACCACGAAGTGTTAACTAAAGTCCACTGCCTGGTGGCAGCATCCTCAATTTGCAGGCTTAGTGTTTACTGGTTAACCATTTGTACGCCATAAGCGGCCGTAGAGGCAAGCGGTGGACCTTTTTTAATTAAATTCAAAATATCGTGGCAGTTAACTGGTTAAGTAACTCGCTGAGCTTGTCTGGAGTGACACTTTACCTAGAAAGGCCCGTTATCATTCTTGGGCCACAAAACCTTCCAGACCTCCGCTCAGCCTGGGGATGCCCTAGACTGGGCTTCACAAGCAGGATTGGAGTCCCGGAGCTGCAGGCCTGTCTGGGGTGCCATTTCTGAAGGACTGGGTTACCTGGCCTGCCCCATCCCAAGGTCCCACCACAGGGTCCCTCTTGGTGCCAGCAGAGCTGGGCCCTGCGCTGAGAAGCAGGGTGCTGCTGCCACTGAGGGGGCTCCACGCTGCTTTTGCCTTTCAGACGGCCACGGCGATGTGATCCGGCCCCTGCGGAAGCAAGTGGAGCTGCTCTTCAACACGAGATACGGTGAGCAAGGAACAGCAGGGCCGGCAGCCTGGCCTGGCCCCCCCTCCCAGCTGCTCCCTGCCTGGGCACAAGGTGGGGAGGGCAGCGAGGGCAGGGACCCACTGGGAAAGGGATGGGGCAGCCAGGGAGACAGGCACTGCCAGAGAACCCCACCTCTGCATGCTGCACCTTGGCCCGCTCGGCCAGCAGGCTCACGCACACCCATCCGCCTCAGCCTCCGGTGGGAGAGGTCCTTACTCCACTGTAAGAACGGCCCCTCTGTCCTCAATGGCACCGTCGTTCAGGGTCCTCAGGAGGACTCGTTACATAGCAAGGACTTTCCTACTAGAGAGACCAGGAGAGGATGGGGAGGCAGGATAGAAAGCTTTTCTTTATTAAGCGCCTGTGGTTTGCCAGGTGCTGGCTAAGTGCTTCTCACAGGTTCTCTCGTCCCATCTCACAAAATCCTTGTGTCCTAATACCCATTTCACAGATGAGGAGAATGAGGCCTGGGGAAGTGACATGGTTTCTCTGAGGCCCCACAACTAGGCAGAGGCAGCACCTGGCCTGGACCTCAGCTCTGTCCTCTCCCCAAAGCATGGTGTTAGGCCACACAGAGTTTTGGGGTTCTTTATGGTGGCAGAGGACCCTCTGGAGGGCTTTTCTGGCAACTGAGGGACACATGGTCTCACCAACCGGCAGTGGTTTCTCCTGCACTGCCTGGGTGTGAGGGCATGGAGCAAGCACGAGTGTGGGATTCACGTACCTCCCCTCTGGGGCTCTGGGACCCGAGATGAGGCACATCCCGCCTGGGCTCCAGGTCTCTTGCCTGGGGACTGGGTAGCAGTACTCACCTCTCCGGAAGGTTAGAAAGGCTCAACTACGTGCTGACTCTAAAAGGGCTCTGGCACCTGTGGCCCCCCGTGCAGACAGGGGACGCGGGAGTTGAGGCCGGTGGCCCCATAGCTCTGGTGGCCCTACAGCAGCTGTGTCTCTGCAGCCAAGGCCATTGGCATCTCGGAGCCCGTCAAGGTGCCCTACTCCAAGTTCCTGATGTACCCAGAGGAGCTGTTTGTGGTGGGGCTGCCTGAAGGCATCTCCCTCCGCAGGCCCAACTGCTTCGGGATTGCCAAGCTCCGGAAGATCCTGGAGGCCAGCAACAGCATCCAGTTCGTCATTAAGAGGTAAGGCCTTGCCCAGCCAGCGTGGCTCAGTGGTTGAGCGTTGACCTATGAGCCAGGAGGTCACAGTTTGATTCCCGGTCAGGGCACATGCTCAGGTTGCAGGCTTGATCCCCAGTGTGGGGTGTGCAGGAGGCAGGAGGCAGCCGATCAATGATTCTCTCTCATCATTGATGTCTCTCTCTCTGTCCTTCTCCCTTCCTCTCTGAAATCAATAAAAATATATTTTAAAAAACAAAAAAGGGGGTAAGGCCTGGCCAGGTCTGCGGGTCCTCCGGGCTTGCGCAGCATCCAGGAGCAGCAGCATCCAATTGCCATCTCCCTCTTTAGACTTTTGTTTTATTTTGTTTTGTTTTAAAGAGTGGGGTGTTCAGCCCTGGCTCGCTTGGCTCAGTGGATAGAGCATCAACCTGTGGATTGAAGGGTCCCAAGTTCGATTCCAGCCAAGGGCACATGCCTAGGTTGCGGGCTTGATCCCCAGTGGGGGGCGTGCAGGAGGCAGCCAATCAGTGATTCTCTCTCATCATTGATGTTTCTATCTCTCCTTCTCCCTTCTTCTCTGAAATCAATAAAGAAATATATTTTAAAAAAATAAATAAAAATAAAGAGTGGGGTGTTCATTGGGGTTTGGGCCCAGTTGGGCAGGCACAAGGTTATCCAGGCCCAGCCCAGGCCTGCCAGTCCCTCCGTCGCCAGTTTTCCAGCACGTGGAATGGGAATGTGCCCGCCGGCTGGCTCTCCTGGACCATTCTGAGCATCCTGTGGGAAGGGGTGATGGTGACCTGGGTCAGGGGCATCAGGGCACTGCTGAGGGCAGCGCCCATTATGCGAGGATTGGAAGAGATGGCTGCGGCATTTCCAGTCCTTCTTGTTTCCTCGGGCATTTCAGCGTTGTCAGCGAGAGCCCAGGGGAGCTGTGTGGCATGAAGTCTCTCTGGAGGAGGTGGAGGAGCTATTAATTTTTGAAAGGAGGGGGAGGACTTTGGGGAGGACCTGTTCTGTTTGTTGCTTCTCCGTGTTACTGTTATGTCTTGTAAATTTAGGTTTGGTTCGGTTGAAAGTGGCAAGTAAGAGAAGACTTTTTTTTTAATCTTTATTGTTGAAAGTATTACAGATGTCCCCTCCCACCCCCCGGCCCCCCATTGACCCTCGCTACCCTGCACCCACTCTGAAGGGTGTGTTCCCCTTAGAGGAGTTGGGAAGCTTGAGGTGGTCTTCACACCTAGAGTGGCAGCTGGTGACGGAGCACGGGAAGGGGAGCTCTCCCATGGGACCTGGTTTGCATCAGGAGAGGCAGGGAAGGTGGAGCTTCAGGAGGCGAACATAGAGGATACCTGGTTCCTTCCTTCAACAAATACAGCTTGAGAGCCAACCATGTGCCCGGCTATGCTATGGCAGCAAATGCCACCAAGTGCCGCCCTTGAGTTGGACCATCTCACTGAATAAAATGACAGTATGATGATTACACCGGGTCTTGGGCTGGCTTAAAGAGTTCGGATTTTATTTCACACTTAGTGAGAACTCACTGGGAGGTTTTGAGGAGAGTGACATGTTTGGGCCTATTTTTATTTTCCAGCTGTGAGGCACAGGGGACTCGGGGTATGGGCAGGGGCAGAAGCAGGGACCAGCGAGGAGGCTTCACTCTGGCCAGGGGACAGGGCAGCAGCTTGAACTGGGTAAAGGTGGGGCGGGAGTACTGAAAGTTGTCAGAGTCGGGGAGTATTTTGAAGAATTCGCTGATACGTTAGGTGTGGTATGTGAGAGGAATAGAGTCCTGACTGACTCAAAGGTTGCAGGCTGAGCACCCGGGCTGGCCCTGATGCCATTTTCTGAGATGGAGATGATGTGGGTGGAGGCCGTAGTAAAGGGCTGGGTCCGGCCCGGCTGGTGTGGTTCAGTGATTGAGCGACCTATCAGCCAGGAGGTCACGGTTCGATTCCCGGTCAGGGCACATGCCTGGGTTGCAGGCTCAGTCCCCAGTGTGGGGCGTGTAGGAGGCAGTCAGTCAATGATTCTTTCTCATCATTGATGTTTCTATCTCTCTTTCCTTCTCCCTTCCTCTCTGAAATCAATGAAAATATATTTTAAATTAAAAAAATAAAGAGCTGGGTGTGACATGTGTTAGGTTTGAGATTCATTGGGCCTTTCAGGGAGGGACATACAGCAGGTGGATAACGGGACCGACAGTCCTGATGCTCAGTGGAGAGGTCAGGGTGGGGACAGAGAGTTGGAGCTATCAGCATTTGGGAGGCTACGTGCACCTGGAGACAGCTTGCCACATCCATCGCCTTAAACCCAGAACTGAAGCCCTTGGGCGGCTCAGAGGTAGGAACCAAATCAACAGCAAATCCACGTGAACCGACTTTCCTTGCTGTTCACCTGCAGACGCAGTCTCTCCCCTGTGCTCCTAAGCAGTGGGGTTTTCTAATTTATTGGTTTTAGAGAGGAAGGAAGGGAAAGAGAGAGTGGGAGACACAGAAAGAGAGAGAAACATTTCTTTGTTGTTCTACTTATCTGTGCATTCATTGGTTGGTTCTTGTATGTGCCCTGACCCAGGGATGGAACCCACAATCTTGGCATATTGGGACGATACTCTGACCAACCAAGCTACCCAACCAGGGCACCTGAGCATTGTTTAATGCTGTTTTATGTTGAGAAATACGTGAGGCTGGTGGCCCTGTGGCAGAGGGAGAGGTGGTCTCCTGGATCTTCGTCGTTACTCCCAGTGACCTTCAGCAGGGTCCTTGGGGTGTTACATGGGGTGCACTGTGCCACTTCATGGGATAGCAGTAGAGAGCAAAGCTTAGCGAAGAACCTGGCTCTCTAAGAACTCAGTCTGTGTGGGTTTGGTGTTTTTTTTTTTAAATGTCAGGCTGATTGAGGTTTAATTTACATTCAATGACATTCGCCTTTTTTAAATGTACAACTCTTTGAACTTAGACAAACTAAGTCTCATAAACCACTACCACAATCAAGATACAAAGCAGTTTCCAAAAACTTTCTATGCCCCCTTTGTTGGCAGCCCTGACCCCCTGGCAGCCACTGGTCAGCGTTCCACTATCATTTTGCCTTTTCGAGAATGTCATGTAAACGGAGTGAGACAGTGTGCAGCCTTTGGCGTCGGCCTCCTTCACTTAGCTTCTGAGATTTATCTATGGGGTTACCTGTATGAGGAGTCCATTTCTTCAACAATATAGCCATTTTATTTATTTATTTATTTATTTATTTATTTATTTATTTATTTATTTTTAATCCTCACCTGAGGGTATGTATTTTATTGATTTTTAGAGAGAGAGAAAAGGGGGGGAAGAGAGAAACATCCATGTGAGAGAGACACATTGATCGGTTGCCTCCTGCACCCGCCCCAACCAGAGATCAAATCTGCAACCTAGGTATGTGCCCTAGGAATCGAACACGCAACCTTTTGGCATACAGGATGAGGCTCTAAGTAACTGAGCCACCTGGCCAGGGCAAAAATGTAGCAGTTTTTAAAAGTGACTTTAATTCCAGTTTCCTGAAAGGCAAGTGAAGAAAGTGATTCCAGTGGGAGAGTGATTAACCTCATCCAGTGCAACACGTGGGGTGTGGGGATGAAAGACTGGGATAGTTTTAAGAGATGATTGGAGGAGAGAGATTGAGCACTCAAGTACCTTTATTATAGCATTCCTCATTTTAAAAATTAGCACAAATACTATTGGGACAATTAAGTGAAAAATAGCCACTTCTCATTAATCTTACTTATAAAAAGGATACATTTGGGAGGTGAGATTCTAGAATTAGATAGAAGTGTGGCTACATAAATAATTTTGTGAATATAGTAAAAACCACTGATTGGCACGCTTTAAAAGTGAATTTTATGTTATGTGAAATACATCTGAATAGATATACATATATGCGCATATATGTATGTATGTATATATGAATATTAGTTTGAATATATGAATATTAGTTTGCTGGGGCTGCCATAATAAAGTATTACAGTCTAGGTCAGGGGTGGGCAAACTTTTTGACTCGAGGGCCACAATGGGTTCTTAAACTGGACCGGAGGGCCGGAACAAAAGCATGGATGGAGTGTTTGTGTGAACTAATATAAATTCAAAGTAAACATCATTACATAAAAGGGTACTGTCTTCTTTTTTTTTAGTTTTATTCATTTCAAACGGGCCGGATCCGGCCTGCGGGCCATAGTTTGCCCACGGCTGGTCTAGGTGGCTTAAACAACATCAACTTATTTCTCTCAATTCTGGAGGCTAGAAGTTCAAGATCAAGGTGTTGGCAGGGTTCGTTTGTCCTGAGGCCTCTCTCCTTGGCGCACAGATAGATGGCCACCTCCTTGCTGGGCCTTCAGATGGTCTTTTCTCTGTACACACGCGTCCCTGGTACCTCTCTCTGCATGATCTAATCTCCTCTCCTTTCAAGGCCACCGGACAGAATGTCCTCATTTAAATTTAATCACCTCTTTAAAGACACTGTTTTCCAATAGTCACATTCTGAAGTACTGAGAGTTAGGGCTTCAACATATGAAGTTTGGGGAGACACAATTCAGCCCATATGTATGTGTGTGTGTGTGTATACATATATATGTATACACATACATATACATACTAGAAGCCCAGCGCGCGAAATCGCATGGCCCCGCCCACCCATGCGCCTTGCTGTGCTCACAGCCCCGCCCACCTGCGCCAGTCTTTGGTCATTACGGGGTTAGGGCCACAGGACTTTTATAATATAGATATGTTTATATAAATGAGAAATTATCACTAATCACACCAGGAGACATCACTAATTGATTGACACTTTCTGACACTTCCTGGACCTGACCTCCACAGCCTTCTAAGCAATACTCTATGCAACCACTACCTAGTAATTAGAGTTGGCACAAAAATCAAATTAAACTTTCTAAACCTTTTGTCAAAAAACATTATTAACCCAGATCCTTGAACTTGTATGCAAATTTTTGTATTCTTTGCATTTTTCTGGAGAGATGGTCCCTTGCTTTTATCAAATTCTCCAAAGTTTACAAGCCCTTTAGACATTTAAAGCTATGGGTGGAGTCTCTCGGTGGGAGACTGAGGCCCAGGGAGCGGTGGGGGAGGTTCTGTCTGAATGCAGTGCTGCGGCGCAGGGTGCAGTTCTGATGCTGACCACCGAGTTAGCAGGTCCCACCGGGTCAGGGCACAGACCCCAGCAAGACAAGAGCATCCCCACTCAGACACCAGCCACAAGTCCAGGGGCCCTGGGCCACCTACACTTCTGAGTAACTGGCTTCCCATGACTCCCCCAGGTTCAATAATTAGCTAGAACAACTCACAGAATTCAGGGAGGCTATAGTATGATCGCAGTTTTAAATAGAGGATACAAGTCAGGACCAGCCAATTGAAGAGACACAAAGGGTGAGGTCTGGGAGGGCACTGGGCACAGAGCTTCCTCCACACCCTCTACCATGAAATCAGGCATGGCAGGCTCTCAGCGCACCGATTTATTAGCCAGGCCTCTGCACCGAGCTCAGCGCCCACAGTGTGTACTGGGATGCATTAGGCTTGGCTGTCTCCAGCCTCCCCCACCCCCACGAAAAGTCAGGAGGTTGAGCTGATGTCAGGTGGCTGGTAGCCCCAGTCCTCTAGTCACATGCTTGCTCTTCCTGAATCCCGAGTCAGCTTATTAGCAGAAACATAGGTGCGATCCCAGAGGCTCGCCATGAATAGCAGACACTCCTGTCATTCCAGAAATGCCAAAGATTTAGAGGTTCTCTCCCGGGAACTTGGGACAAGGACCAGACTAACTCTCACACGGCACTGACTCTAAATGCCCCATTTTCAGTGCAGCCTGGTCCAGCTAGCGCGGGCCTGCCCGGGTGGTGGGGGTGTGGGGTCTGGCAGCCTGAGGGTGCTGGGGAGGCCGGCCGGCCAGAGGAGAGCTGACGGCCTGGAGGAGTGGGACAGGTAACAGCCACTTCAAATCTCCCGAAGGGAAGGAAGGGATGCAGACCAGGGTCTAGTGTGAGGAGGGCTCTGTGGGGAGGCTACCCACAAAGGTGATGAGCTCTCTGTCGCAGAGGTGGCCGAGCAGTGACACAGAGACCCTGCCTGGGAGTGAGGCCAGAGGCCAGAGGCCAGACTCTCAGGGCACTCTGCCCCCAGGTCAGGCGGCCAGCGGATGAGGACTTGATGCCTGTCCTGGCAGCAGGCATCGGCATTAGCTCAGTCCCTGGCACAGGGCTGGGCTCCTGGGGCCCGGAAGGGAGGGGCACAGCCTGCCTTGGCCCACAATCTCGGGAGCTGGAAACGGCCTCCGACTGTATTCAGATCCCCCACCACCACCTCTTCCCTTCTCCTCATGGGGAGACTGGGGCTCGGAAGGTAGAATGCTGCCCCCACAGTCACCTAGGGGGTCAGGAGCAGGACCCCCGACGCCCAGGCCAAAGTAACTTCCACAGTCCGGCGTTGTCTCCCAGACTTGGATTTGTAAGGCCTGCTCCCCTCTGTCTGAGCCCGGACAGGGTTACTCTCTCGTTTCATATCAGAAAACAGAGGTCCGCGTGGGGAGGGGGTGTCCCCCAGCTGGAGAGGCTGCAGTGGGGGGGAGAGGGGCACTTCGTTTGCACTCTGCCCCTGGAGCTGTGGGGTCTTGGGCATGTTACTAACCTTCCCGATGCCTCAGTCTCTTGGCCCTGAGAATGGGATGAGGGAAGCAGTGCCTGCTTCAAGGACATGGGGCGGTTCCCTCATGTCTGGGAAGGGCTTTGTGGAGTCTGTGGAGATGCAGACATTAGTGGAAAACTGGGCCTGGTCCCCGAGGCCCCTGACTCCAAAGTGAAATGGCAGCTCTCAGGTTTCAGCCAGAAACTCGGGCCTTCCTTATGCCTCCGAGAACTTGCCACATAGTCATCCCCAGTGGCTCCTGCACTTACAGCCGGTTCTCTGGGGACTCCCCAGACCATGTGCTCTGACCCTGGATAGTGGCAGTCAGGCAGCGTCCTGGAACTGAGAGGAAGGGTGTCAGCCCCACCAGGCCAGGACCAGGCTGGTCTCACTCCCGCCTGAATCCTCAGAGCCCAGCGCAGACGCACTCGCACTCGCACTTGCACACGCACACACACACCCGGCCCAGATCTCACACATGGATCAGCAGGACAGCTGCAAGGAGAAGGGCAGCGACCCCAGACCTGGACTGTCCAAAGGCAGAAGAGCCCATTGCACAGATGTGTAGACTGAGGCTTAGAGGGGCGGTCTGTGCAGGATGAAGGAGGCTTGGAGGGACCTTGGTGATAGCCCCACTTGTATTTTCCAGGCCTGAGCTGCTCACCGAAGGAGTCAAAGAGCCCATCACGGACAGCCAAGGTACCCTGCACAGGGTCATGGGCTAAGGTGCGGGCTGGGCGTGGGAGGGGTCCCAGGCTTCTGCCACCACCCCTCCTGCTTCCTCTGTCCTCCCCTGACATTCCCCAACTGCCCTCCCCATCGGGTTTGCTCCACCTTTGTCCCTGGGTCTCAGGAGCTTCTTCCCCCAACCCCCTGATCTGCCCCCAGAGAGGGATTCAGGGGACCTTTTTGTGGACAGGAACCTGAAGAGACAGGGCTTTCAAGGTAAGGTTGCAGCTCAGGATGGGGTCCACTGTCCCAGCACCATGACCTTGACCTGGCTTGGGTGTGGAGGCCCACTCTAGGGGTGGGGCTGGCTACAACCTCAGGGCCTGGGGGCCTGGGTAAGGTGAGCTGGCAGTGGGGATGGGCTGTAGCCTGCCAGCTTTGAGTGAGAGACTCCACAGGGGGTTTGGGGGTGGGGGAGGGATTCCATAGGATGCAGGAGCCGCCCACTATCCACCTGGGAAGCCAGCTGCCCTGCCCACTCTGTATTAGGCAATCAGCCTTGCTCTTATGCTTGGAAGTCAGAGGAGGGGGTATCCCAAGGGCAAGGAGGGCTCCGCTCCCTAGAGAAGGGGAGCTGTAGCTGAGCCAAGAAGGGATGGGAGGAGGTGAGTGTGGAGGGAGAGGAAGCATGAAGAGTGGACCATACCTGAGAAACAGAAACGGACCGGCCAGGCTCTGAGGGGAGGCTCTGCCCCTCCCATTGTGGGGGTGCAGTATCACTTCTCAGCTTTTCGGTTGAGATCAAGTGTAGCGTCAGTGGGGGGACAGGGAACCACGTCGGAGTGCCTATTGGGGAGCCCTAGGGGTGGCTGTGAGTGAGTGGGCATTTCCTGGATGGGCCCTATGTGGTTGCTGTGGCTCTGAGGAGAAAACGGGTCAGCAAGACCAGTGGCAGGAGGGCCAGCCCCGGAGGTGGGGGAGCCCTAGAGATAGGACCCAGACCCCAGAGGGGTGGCTGCTCACTGCCGTCTCTCACTCCTTCCCCGGCAGCGGGAACTTTCTGTGATGAGGGGAGTGGAGCCTCTCACCGCACCCCAAGGCTCCTCCTACCCAGTCCCCCTAGTGGGCTGGGGTCCAGATCCACTCCCTCACTTTCCCTTCTTATGAGGCAGTGCCAGGCTACAGCCTCCCCATGGGTAGGGGCCCATCAGGGGTGCCCCTGGCACGTGCTGGCATACAGGCTCCTTAACACACACCCTTGGGGTGAGTGAGTGACCCCTGAGAGCTGCTAGGCCGGCTCCCTGCCCCTCGGGGGGCCGCCCAGTCACCTGAGCTCGTGTGTCCCTGCTCCGAGCCCACTGGCGCAGGTGGTGCAGGAACCAGTCCTCTCTCTTCATGGTGTCTCCCCCTCCAGGCTTGTTTATCACTGTGGTGGTTTTCAAATGTCAACAATTAACTCAGTTTCCGACTCATTGCTGTTGTTGTAACAGTGTGCGTCCTTCCGGAAAAACACACATCTCTGTTGAGATGTTAGCTCTGAAGGACCCGGGGGGCCCGCTCCAAGGATCTGGTAATTGCCAGAGAAGGAGGTCCCCATAATTAGAAAATCATATTCCTTAAAAGTCACTAAGTGCCTTTTAACAGCCCCAATCCATAATTGTTTTTCACTTTGCAGAAAATTATGATGCCAGACTCTCCCGGATCGACATTGCCAACACGCTGAGGGAGCAAGTCCAGGATCTGTTCAATAAGAAATACGGTGAGCCCGGGCGCCCGGTGGAGGGAAGCGGGCAGGGTGGGAAGAGGCCAGCGTTTCTCAGGCCCATCGTGGTCACCTCTGGGAAAACCATTCATCAGCTTATAAATATTGCTGGAGCAGTTACCGTGTACCAGGCCCTGGAGATGCAGCAGTGAAGGAAACGCACAGTCCCTGCCCTCACGGGCCCCATAGATCAGGGAAAAGAGAGACATTCAGCAACTACACAGAACCTAATAGCAAGGAGGAATTCACAGGAAACGAGCAGGCTGTTCCAGAGAGAATAGCTTGGGTGCTTACCTTAAATCGGGGACCAAGGAGAGCCTCTTTGAAGAAAGAACTGAAGGATAGTTAAGGAGTTAAGCAAAGTGTGAAGGAGTGACATTCCAGCTGAAATAATGGCGTGTGCAAAGGCCCTGAGGCTTGTCCTCAGAAGGGGAGGGTGCTGGGAGGTGGAGGTGGAGGTGGAGGTGGAGGTGGAGGTGGAGGTGGAGGTGGAGGTGGAGGTGGAGGGAGCAGAGACCCCATGGAGCTGCCCAAGAAGCAGAGCTGATCATGGTATCGGCTTTGTATTTTGTTGGGAAGAGTGAAGGAACGAGCCACTTTGCGCTTTTGAAGTATCTTCCTGGTCTCTGTGAAGAAAGTGATTGGGTGCAGGAGGGCAAGGGGTGGGTGGTAGTTCAGAGGTGGAGTGGGAGTCCAGGCCAGAGTGATGCTCTTGGGCAGGGCCCTGGCCTTGGTACTGGAGGAAAGTGGGTGAAGCTAAGATCTGCTCAGAGAGAGAATCGCTGGTGCGGAATTGGCAGGGAGAGGACAGGCCTCCAGTTGAGTCCTGGCTTGAGGGATCAGTGAAGATGCTCAAGTAACAAAAACAAACTAAAACTGGCTTGAACAATAAAGGGGGTTAAACAATAATGACTATTTATTATCTCTCGTTGGCGTCAGTGAGTCAGCTCACTCAGGGTCTCTCCCAAGGTTCTAGTCAGAGGTGGCTGGGACCGGGATCACCTGGACAGCTAGCTTCCCGCTCACATGTCTGCTCCCCAGGCTGGGGAGACTGCTGGTGTGGAATAGCTGGGCCCCTCGGGCATCTCTCTCAATTTCTGTAAGATCCCTTGGAGGGGCGGGCGGGGAGGGGCTTTCCAGCATAGTGACTCCAGGGTAGCTAGAGTCCTACTTGTCAGCCAGGGCTGCTGAGGCACCATCCTGAGAGAGAGCCAGGTGGAAGCTGTGTTGCCTTTTATGACCCAGCCTCAGAGGTCGTGCAGCGTCACCTCTGTTGTCCTGTACAGGTTGAGGCCGTTACAAAGCCCCATCCCCAGTTCTCTGGGGGGAGTGTAGAGGTTACACTGTAAGAGGAACATGTGGGGTGGGAGGAAAATCAGTGCAGCTATCTTTGGACAGTACAGTCAGCCAAAACTCATAACATGGGAGGTCCAGTAGTAGGATGGCCTTCAGGGTCAGCTGGATCCAGCAGCCCAGGAATACCCTTGGTGTCTTTCCACAGTGTCAGCAGCATCTCAGGCTGGCTTCCCGCTTGTTGGCAGAATGGCCGCAGCAGGTTCAGACATCCCATCTGCACAGCCTGGAAGGAAGGAGAGGGCTGGCTCTTCCATAGGCTTTCCCAAGAGAGCCAGGTTGTTTCTTTCCCAGAATTCCCTGAGCTCTCCTCTTGTTTCTCATTGGTCCCTACTGAGTCCTATGTCCATTCCTTACCCAGTCTCTGTGGCAGGGAAACGCCACACGCTCATTGGGTACCTGGATCTGTCACCATGATGGGTGAGGGGAAGTGGATAGAGCACATGGCTCACCAGAGACAGGTGGATACCCACCTGTCAGGGAGAAGGGGCAGTGCCATCACTGAGGGGAGGAGTTAGGGAGGAAGTAATGGGTTCGATTTGGGACGTTAAGTTTGAGGAGTGAGTGGAGAGGAAGTCTGCTATTCAGAAAGGTATCTGAATTGGAACCAGAAATTAGGTCATGGGCCCTGGCTGATGTGGCTCAGTGGGTTGAGCATCGTCCCATACACCGAGAGAGAGATCACCGGTTCGATTCCCAGTCAGGGCACATGCCTAGGTTGCCGTCTCCATCCCCAGCAGGGGGCGTGCAGGAGGCTGCCAATTATTGTTTCTCTCGCTCCCTCTCTAAAATCAATAAAAGCATATTTTTAAAAAGAAGAAGAAAGAAAAAAGTGTTTAAAGACACGTGTCATTAAAAAAAAATTAGGGCATGGGCGTAGAGGAGACACAACAGGGGGTGCAAAAGGGGCAAAAAAGGACCCAGATTGAAGGCTAAGAGGGCTGTGTTTAGAAGTCAGGTCCAGGAGGAGGGGGAGTGGCCAGAACGAGGGGAGACCAGGGAAGTGCGGGCTCATGGACACCCAGGAGAAGGCCTCAAGGAGGAAGCGGGCATCTGTGTTGGATTTTGCCAAAAGAGGCAAGTGTCTACAGGGTTTGCAGCATGGCGGCCATCGGTCATTGTGGCAAGAGCCGTTTTGGAGGCGAGAGGAGAAGTGGGGATTGCAGTGTTTCCACTCGTGGATTATGGGTATAAATTTTCCTCTCTGAATTTTCTTTATTTCAAAAAGGATCTCTTTGTGTTAGCCTATAAACTAGTGAGCAACAAAATCAAGATGAAGGAGTAAAAGTAGACTGGACATCCATAGAGAGAGAAAGTAGATTAGTGGCTGCCAGGGCCTGGGGAGAGGGGGCGAGGGAGGTGACTGCTAATGGGCACGGGACTTCTTTCTGGAGCGATGGAAATGTTCTGGAATTCGATAGTAGAGATAATTTCACAACCTCATGAGTATATGAAAAACCACTGGATGGTACACTTCAAAAGGGTACATTTCATGGTGTGTGAATTCCGCCTCCATTGAATAAAACTAAACAGGCTGAAGCCGTGGCCCGAATCCAGGGGTGACATGAAGACTTGCTAGCGGCAGGACACACATCAGGCTCTGAGTTTCCTAGGCGTCCGAGCAGAAAGGGAAATGAGGCAAGTTCTGGCATTCTCAGTGTCCGTGAGATAAGAACTAGTTTTTTGCACACAGACAGCTCAGCTGTTCTTTCTAGTGTCTTCATGGGCCTCCCGTGGCAGAGGATGGTGCTCTCAGCCAGCCCCTCAGGAGGGCCGCCGTGAGCTCAGACCTCCACCCGTGTGGGTCTCCAGCTCGACCCCATCTAAGGCTGGGAGAGCCATGAACGTTCAAGTCAGCCTCGCAGCATCCAGGGCTACGGTGCCTGCACCTGGTCCATGGTCCCCGTGGGCAAGAACCACGGGAGGACCAGCCGGCAGTTCCACCTCCTCACCCCAGGACTGCCCTAGGCCTGCTGTCTGACCAAGCACCGTCCCGGGGATGGGAATGCCACAGCCCTGCACAGAGGCCTGCTCACAGGAAGGACACCAATGCTCAGATGTGGAAAGAGGGCCCTGAGGTCTGAGCTGCGCCCTGGCTGGCCTCAAGCTGCTCTCCTTGCTCCCAAATGCCATCTGCCCTCTCGGGCCAGGCCAGTCCTGAACCAGGGGCAGGCAGAGCCCTGGAGCTGATGGAGGGTCAGGCATTGTGGGAAGGGCAGCTGTGCCACAAGGTATATCCTCTAGGTGGGCCCTCAGATTCGCAGGGGAGGATGCTGAGAAATATTAGCCACTGCCCTCTCCCCCAGCAGCCGTAGCTACACGTCCCCTTTCCCCCTCCTCAGCCCAGACACCTGACCCCCGAGGCCTCCTGCACAACACACCCCCTCACTCCCAGCCCCCCACTGATGGTGCCTTTTCTTGGTACTAAATGACAGGTTTCTTTCGCACTCGTGCACGAAGCCCCCACACACACCTCCCATCCTCACACCAGCGGTGCCTCTGGCTCCTAATGACGCTTCCTTCGTCACAGGGGAAGCCTTGGGCATCAAGTACCCCGTCCAGGTCCCCTACAAGCGCATCAAGAGTAACCCCGGCTCGGTGATCATTGAGGGGCTGCCCCCGGGAATCCCGTTCCGAAAGCCCTGCACCTTCGGTTCCCAAAACCTGGAGAGAATCCTCGCGGTGGCTGACAAGATCAAGTTCACAGTCACCAGGTACTGGGGGAAGAGGCCGGGTGAGGAGGCAATGGTAGCATGGGTGGGGGCTTGCACAGGGGACCCTTGGCCTTTCCTCTGGTTCGTCCTGCCCTCCCTGCAGGATGGTGCGGCTGTTCCAGTGTCAATCTGGGTCCTGGGGGCTGAGGGGAGGACTGCAGGCCAGCCGGGGTGCAGAGGGCCCCAAGAGGTGAAGCCAGCCACCACATCATTACCACTGTAGCAGGCACGGCCTTCACGGGTACCTTCTACCTGCCCACAGCACCTGCCCACTGCACTCCTAGCCCCTGGGAGAGGCATCAGGCCCACTTCAGAGGGGAGGAAAAGGGACAACTTGTTTGCTCAAGGTCACAGCCATCCAGGGCAGAGCCCCCGGTCACCGTCTTCTGCGCAGTGTCCCGTGCACACGAATCACTGCCCATCTTGTTAAAGTGGCAGATTCTGATGCAGTAGGTCTTGGATGTGCCCCAGACATTTCTAATGAGCTCCCAGCCCCTCCTGACACTCCCCTCTCTGCTTCTCTTCCAGGCCTTTCCAAGGACTCATCCCAAAGCCTGGTAAGAGGCACCGACTGGCGGGGGAGCTGCTTGGCATGGGGGGCTGGCCATGGTGCTGGGGGGCAGGGGCTGGAGCCAAGCTAACTGTGGGACAGAGGGTGTGGGGCCCTGAAGCAGGAGCCAGGCCCCTGCCCTTTGTTCTCCCACATCCCCTGGGCACCATCCCAGGAGGCAGGAGGAAGGCCAAGCTGGAACCTGAGGCAGAGGAAGGGGTCGTGGGTGGCACCTGTGACTTTTAAGCTTTGCCCAGCCAGGGTTCCGGAGGAAGGGCTGGGTCCGTGCCCCTCACTCCTCTGGTTGAAGGGCCCTGGGTGCCTTTGGTGAGTAGCTGAGGTTGGTGGCAGGTGGGTTTCTCACCTCAGAGGGCTTGGCAGTAAGATGTAAGGGGCACCCAACCAGCCTCAGATGGTAAAATGCTCTCCTGACCCCTTTCAAGGCATCCAGCCCCTCCACCTCCCCCGTGGCCGTGTCCTACACCTCCCAAACGCTTAATGAGCAGAGGCTGTCCCTGTGGGGGCAACATGGCCACCCGGCAAGCACTCCGGGCTGGCCAGGGCCTGTGTATGGAGAGACGGGGGAGCCCTGCCATCTCGCCCCACACCGTGCCCGCCCCAGAAGCCACTGCGGGTGTGAACACCGGCCAGCCTGTGTTCCTGGGGAGGCTGCCCGGCTGTGCTGGGAATGGGTGAGCCGCCACAGCAGGCGCACATCAGAGGGAGCCTGCCGCCCGGGAGTCTGGTCCACAGTCCTGGACTCAGTGCCTGGCTCCCACCTGCATGGCATTGGCCCCTGCTCCCAGGAGCTGTTCACTGCCTGCGCCCAGGCCTGGCCTGGCGGGCTTCTGGGGAAGGGTCAAGGGGCCGTCGAACTGGAGGGGGCAAGACTTCCTGAGGGTGTAGTGATGTGGCAGCCGCTGTCAGGCTGCAGGGACCCCCCAGGAAGGGAAGCGGGGGTGGGAGTGACTGAGGAAGGTTTCCTGGAAAGAAGGGCTCCAGTTGGGCCTCGGGAGAAGCCGGGACTCGGAGAGGGGAGGGAAAGGAGGCGTTCGGTCGGTAAGCAGCAGGGGTCCGAGGCCCACCCTGTCCCTGGGCTCGGAGATGGGAAAACGGCAAGATGATGTTACTGAGGTGGAGGTGGTGGAAGCAGTAGTAAATGCAGCCGCGGCGGCCCGACCAAAGATGACTGGGTGTCAGACCCGCCTCACGTGGGCTCCCCTTACACACGCTCCCAAGGCCCTCCTGGGGCCGGCTGTGTTCTAGGCTCTAGGGTTTCAGCGAAGAACACGGAGGCATCACGTTGACTCCTCGGGCCTGTGAGTTAGGTGCGAGAGCCGGACTCGGGGGAAGCAGAGCTCAGGGTTTCAGCGAAGAACACGGAGGCATCACGTTGACTCCTCGGGCCTGTGAGTTAGGTGCGAGAGCCGGACTCGGGGGAAGCAGAGCTCAGGGTTTCAGCGAAGAACACGGAGGCATCACGTTGACTCCTCGGGCCTGTGAGTTAGGTGCGAGAGCCGGACTCGGGGGAAGCAGAGCTCAGGGTTTCAGCGAAGAACACGGAGGCATCACGTTGACTCCTCGGGCCTGTGAGTTAGGTGCGAGAGCCGGACTCGGGGGAAGCAGAGCTCAGGGTTTCAGCGATGTGCCGCCTCACACGCCGAGCGGGGGCCTTAGGCCCATCCTCTTGGAGAGGTGAACCCAGGGCCCCCTGATTCAGACGCCCACAGGGGAACGGTTCCCCTGGAAGCAGGCTGGGGACGGCAGGGCAGGCACATGAATGCTCCAATGCTCATGAGAACATCATAGGCCTGTGCACTTGCATAGCTCCCTTCTCTTTTAAGCTTTTTTAAAAAAATATATTTTTATTGATTTCAAAGAGGAAGGGAGGAGAGAGATAGAAACATCAATGCTGAGAGAATCATTGATCAGCTGCCTCCTGTACACTCCCTACTAGGGATTAAGCCCGCAACCCGGGCATGTGCCCTGACCGGGAATCGAACCCTGGCCTCCTGGTTCTTAGGTCGACACTCAACCACTGACCCACACCAGCTGGGCACACAGCTCTCTTCTCATTGGCCCTGGGAACCAGAACACACCTTCCCTGGCATCACCAGCCCATCCCCACCCCCCCAGCTGCCTGGCCCTCTGTGGACCTGCCTTGCTCCAGGACATGGTTGGCAGCCTGGGGTTCACTCGCCTGGCTCCAGGGCTGATAGACATCAGTGCTGGTGTCCCTGAGCCAGCTTCCTGCCACTGCCTGCCCCGACTTGGGTTTCAGCCCAAGCTGGTGTCAGTGCTGGGCCCGATCCCGTAAGCAGTAGCCGGAAGCATGGTCGAGCCTCCCTCTGCTGATGAAGGCTAGAAATGTAGTGAGGCACCCCTCGGCCTCCCCTCTGCTCCCAGCCCCTCCTCCCCAGAAGAAAGGGTCCCCTTGGAGGACTGAAAGGGGCGTGTACATTTTAAATGAGTTTGGAAAGCAGCAAAGAAAAGTCAAGACGCCTGATGTGTGCTGGGCTGTGAGGTCAGCGCTTTGCACTGGCACCTTTTTCTGTTCCCTGCTTACGGGTGTTGGGGACTTCAGTGACTTGCCTGGGATGGCCCACCTGGAGTGAGGGAACCTGGCTCCCTGCCTTCTGTCAGGAGACCATGGTCACAGGCAGGCGGTATGTAATTCAGAGAAACCATCGCATAGTGGAGTGTCAGGCTTTAGAGAGAAACGCTTGGGGCGAAGGGTCAGCCAGCAGCCTTCACTCAGACCACAGCACTCCTGGACCCTTCCGGGGGTGACCGCTTTCACCGCCCGGGGCTTACCCTCCAACTAGGAAAGCTTGCAGCTCATCTTGCTGTTTGAGCAGCTTCTTGAATCTTAGCCATCAACCCCCAGGCTCCTTGCCAGTCTGCCTGCCCAACCTACCCATTGGCCTTCCCTTTGCCTCCTCTGTGTACTGAGAAAGGCCTTGGAAACACTTGATCGCCCACATGGTGTGGGAGAAGATGGCAGGCTGCCTGGAAGAGGAGGTGGGAAAGTGGCCCTGGCCCAGCCCTCGGGGATGGAACTGCCAGCACCTTTCCAGGCATTGGCACGCCAGCTCCAAGCCTGCTCATGCCACTTGTCGTGCTGGGCTGGGAAGCTGTCCAGGCTCACAGGAGACCGAGGGCTCACTGGAGGTCATTGGGTGCTGGTCCTGCCCAGAAAGGGCTGTTCCAAATCTCCCATGAGGAAACCACTGCAGCCTGGTACAGGCCAGCATCGGGGGTGATATTGGAGCAGGACCTCGGGTCTCGGGGGGAGGCGAACGTTAGCAGGTGCCCTGGGCATGTGGAGGAATAGCTGGGCAGCATGTCAGCCATGGGAAAGCACAGGTGTTCAGAGAGACCCAGTCCAAATCCCTGCACCCTTTACTAGCCATGTGACTGGGCTCATTCCTTCACATCCTGAGCCGGCACTTCCTCATCTGTAAGACGGAGATAGTCGTACCCGCTTCCCCAGGTGATCTGAATTGGTCAGATGGTGGGCAGTGGTGGGTGAGCTCTGGAGGCCAGTTGCACCCTGCTGCCCCGGGGGGCTTTGTCCTGAGACTCAAGTAAGTAAATATTTGTAAAGCCGTCAGCCCTGGACCTGCTGTGGGAAAGCGCTCAGCCAGTGGCGGTGGCAGTGACTGTTATTCCAGAGGCTCTGGAGGGCTTCCTGGAGGGGGTAACATTGACCTGGGCCTTGGAGGTGAGCAGAACAGTGTGTGGTGCTGGCACAGGGTTCAGCGGTGCCCAGGGGACATGGCCAGGGCACCAGTAAGGGGTGGAGCCCATTCCGCTGGAGGGTATGGTGTGTCCTGACCAAGAGGCAGTCCTTACCCTGGCACAGTGGAGGCTTTGAGACTTTCTCTTTCCTCCTCTTCTAAAAATACGGAGTGAACCTTAGTCGGCTAATTCAGACGTGTATGATTGAACTTTCTCTTTTATTCTTCTAAAATTGAACTAGATTTCTACCAAAACCCACCGTTACATAGTGACAGAAACTTAACCTGAGTCTCTTTAGGATCCCCTTTTCCCTGGACTTGTGTCCAAGTTCCAGAGGATTTCATAGTGCCAAACAGTGAGGAGCAGGGGCCCGTCAAGTCTTGAATGTCATGTGTCAACACTAACACTGGTACCCAGAAGATATCCATGGACAACTGTCCACCAGGTGATTGGAGAAACACCCTTGTTCCTACCCATTGAGCACTGCCCCCACCCCAAGGGCCTGGAACCTTCTATGAAGCCCACCTCTGCAGCCACTACCACACTGCAGAGGGTTGGACGTGACTCATGCTGGGGAGGGCGGAAATGGGGTGCTGGGGGTGAGCCTTGGGAAGGAGGGGAGCTTCCCTAGGTAGGGAGGGACCCCTTGAAGGATGGCTCTCAGATTTTCCACGTCATTTTTTGAAGGCTCCCAGAGAGGCCATTCCTAACAGAAACATCCTGAGAAGATGAATCGTAAAGAAGAAAACTGTGCTTTGAAAATAAGTTGGTCATTAAATCTGGGGCTTGGACAGTGTGGCCTGGAACGGTGGGCTGGCCCAGAGTGGGGCGAGGGTATGGCTCTTCCTGGGCCAGTTTTGTTCTGAGTCCAAAGAGATGACCCCACAAGGCCATTAGCGTTGTCCCAACTGGGTACACATCTGCCCACAGGGCCTGCGTTTCCCCACTGGTGTCTGGTAGCCTTTCCCGCTCGTGCTGCGTGGTGGTAGGCACCTGGCTAGAGAAAAAGACAGGCTTGGACTGAGCATGGGAGGGCTTTCAGGCCTCCAGGCAGGGGAGCTGTGGGCCAGCGGCTCCTTGGGACCCCTGGGGAGTGGGCATCCAGGCTGGAGGAGCTGGCACGGCAGAGGGATGGATGGTAGGGCCAGGCCCCCCACTTATACTAGAGCGAGCTCTCGCCTAACCTCAAGGAGCCGAGGTAACGCAGGCCTGACCCCAGGAGCCCAAGCCTGTGAGGCCTGGAGAGGTACACAACAGTGGTACCCA